CACTGTACAACACGCACGCACTTACACACTGTACAACACGCACCTACACACTGTACACACGCACCTACACACTGTACAACGCACCTACACACTGTACAACACCACCACACGCACCTACACACTGCACCACACGCACCTACACACTGTACCACACGCACCTACACACTGTACACACGCACCTACACACTGTACCACACACACCTACACACTCTTCCACACGCACCTACACACTGTACCACACGCACCTACACACTGTACCACACGCACCTACACACTGTACCACACGCACCTACACACTGTACCACACGCACCTACACACTGTACCACACGCACCTACACACTGTACCACACACACCTACACACTGTACCACACGCACCTACACCACACACGCACCTACACACTGTACCACACACACTGTACAACACGCACCTACACACTGTACCACACGCACCTACACACTGTACCACACGCACCTACACACTGTACCACCGCACCTACACACTGTACCACACGCACCTACACACTGTACCCACACGCACCTACACACTGTACAACACGCACCTACACACTGTACAACACACACTGTACAACACGCACCTACACACTGTCCCACACACACTGTACAACACGCACCTACACACTGTACAACACGCACCTACACACTGTACAACACGCACCTACACACTGTACCACACACACTGTACAACACGCACCTACACACTGTACCACACGCACCTACACACTGTACAACACGCACCTACACACTGTACCACACACACTGTACAACACGCACCTACACACTGTACAACACGCACCTACACACTGTACAACACACACTGTACAACACGCACCTACACACTGTACCACACACACTGTACAACACGCACCTACACACTGTACCACACACACTGTACAACACGCACCTACACACTGTACAACACGCACCTACACACTGTACCACACGCACCTACACACTGTACCACACGCACCTACACACTGTACCACACGCACCTACACACTGTACCACACGCACCTACACACTGTACCACACGCACCTACACACTGTACCACACGCACCTACACACTGTACAACACGCACCTACACACTGTACCAACACACACTGTACAACACGCACCCTACACACTGTACCACACGCACTGTACAACACGCACCTACACACTGTACCACACGCACCTACACACTGTACCACACGCACCTACACACTGTACCACACGCACCTACACACTGTACCACACGCACCCTACACACTGTACCACACGCACCTACACACTGTACCACACGCACCTACACACTGTACCACACGCACCTACACACTGTACCACACGCACCTACACACTGTACCACACGCACCTACACACTGTACAACACGCACCTACACACTGTACAACACGCACCTACACACTGTACAACACACACTGTACAACACGCACCTACACACTGTACAACACACACTGTACAACACGCACCTACACACTGTACCACACGCACTGTACACACGCACCTACACACTGTACAACACACACTGTACAACACGCACCTACACACTGTACCACACGCACCTACACACTGTACCACACGCACCTACACACTGTACAACACGCACCTACACACTGTACAACACACACTGTACCACACGCACCTACACACTGTACCACACGCACCTACACACTGTACCACACGCACCTACACTGTACCACACGCACCTACACACTGTACAACACGCACCTACACACTGTACAACACACACTGTACCACACGCACCTACACACTGTACAACACACACTGTACAACACGCACCTACACACTGTACAACACACACTGTACAACACGCACCTACACACTGTACCACACGCACTGTACAACACGCACCTACACACTGTACAACACACACTGTACAACACGCACCTACACACTGTACACACGCACCTACACACTGTACCACACGCACCTACACACTGTACAACACGCACCTACACACTGTACAACACACACTGTACCACACGCACCTACACACTGTACCACACACGCACCTACACACTGTACCACACGCACCTACACTGTACCACACGCACCTACACACTGTACAACACGCACCTACACACTGTACAACACACACTGTACCACACGCACCTACACACTGTACCACACGCACCTACACACTGTACCACACGCACCTACACACTGTACCACACGCACCTACACACTGTACAACACGCACCTACACACTGTACAACACGCACCTACACACTGTACCACACGCACCTACACACTGTACAACACACACTGTACAACACGCACCTACACACTGTACCACACACACTGTACAACACGCACCTACACACTGTACCACACACACTGTACAACACGCACCTACACACTGTACCACACGCACCCACACACTGTACAACACACACTGTACAACACGCACCTACACACTGTACCACACACACTGTACAACACGCACCTACACACTGTACCACACGCACCTACACACTGTACACACGCACCTACACCTGTACAACACACACGTACAACACACCACCTCACACTGTACAACACGCACCTACACACTGTACCACACACACTGTACCACACGCACCTACACACTGTACCACACACACTGTACAACACGCACCTACACACTGTACCACACGCACTGTACAACACGCACCTACACACTGTACCACACGCACCTACACACTGTACCACACGCACCTACACACTGTACCACACGCACCTACACACTGTACCACACGCACCTACACACTGTACCACACGCACACTACACACTGTACCACACGCACCTACACTGTACCACACGCACCTACACACTGTACCACACGCACCTACACACTGTACAACACGCACCTACACACTGTACCACACACACTGTACCACACGCACCTACACACTGTACCACACGCACCTACACACTGTACAACACGCACCTACACACTGTACCACACACACTGTACCACACGCACCTACACACTGTACCACACGCACCTACACACTGTACCACACGCACCTACACACTGTACAACACGCACCTACACACTGTACCACACACACTGTACCACACGCACCTACACACTGTACAACACACACTGTACCACACGCACCTACAGCTCCTAAAGCATATAATATATATCAGGATACAGCCGTTGTGTATTCTATTATGTGAAGCACTAAATGGTTTTAGAAAAATATTGACTCTAGGCCAGTTATACTGAGTGATATATATTATACACACTGCTCTGCTTTCTGCACGGACCTCACAGCTGTTCTCAGTGTAAACATCGCGTAGCGATGAAAGCAGTTAATAAAATAATATCCAGGGGATGCATGCAGAGCTGTCATTGGCTGAGATAAGTCCAGCCGTGCGTCACGACTCTTTGAAACATCACTGTTGCCGGAAATATTGGCGCGGAGGACCCATCAGTGTATCCTCGATTATAGCTCCTCCAGAGAGCCTCCTCGACGCTCGATCCTCGATCCTCGAAGTGCATTTAGAGAAATGAGATGGGTGATTCGGTGATAATTGTATTTATTGGAGACAGGTGGTGGTGGGATTAGCGCACCAGCACTAGCATATGTTTTGTTACCAGGGAAAACACAGGTCAAAGCATTGTTCTTTATATGTTGAATGACTGGAATACAAGAGAATACATGAACAAAGACGACGTTCTTGGACAATGAACATCTCCCTGCGTAAGATGAGCTTTTTGGTGCCTGAGCAGCTGTTTTATTCTGAGTAAAAATGTTCTGTTTGATTTCTGTATTTGGCTGCTCTGAGTGTGTAATGAGGCTGTTGTGTGTGTTCTCTCAGTGGACGAGGGGGCGGTGTTCGCCATGTGTATGACCAGCCAGGGAGACCAGGCTGTGCTCAACCAGTGGGTCTCCGGCCTCCAGCAGAACAACCCCATCCTGGGCCGGGTCGCCACTCTGTTCCGCCTAGAGCAGGGGCCCCGCGAACTGCAGGGGGCCCATAAAACAAAGTCAGACCACCAGCACAGGCAGGACCCCCAGACCCAGAGAGAGGAAGAGGAGGCATCAGTGGAGGAAGAGCTGAGGAGAAGCCAGGGGATGAAGCAGTGAGCAGACTAAAGACTGACAGAAGACTCATAACACACTGTATATGTGGGTTTATTTATCAAGATATGTCCATGCTGGGGAGGGGCTGGATCAGATTTCAACAGGGGTACACCAACTCAGCAGTAAATAAATATAATTTAAAAGAAATGTGTGATGATTTGTTGTCCACATTTGAAATCATCTTAAGCAGTGGTTCCCAGGATGATGACATCAAAGCAACAAAATACAGATTTCACATACACAAAGGTATTTTCATGGTTTTCTTGTGATCTTATTTATTTACTATTAAATAAATAATAAAATAAATATGTTTTCTTCTTGTTTCCCCATATATCCATTCAACTCTCAAACCGGGGCCAACGTGATGCTGTCCTTTCAGGTTTTATTGGGAAATCATGTTTACTAAGTAGGAAAATCTGCATGGAGGAAGGCAAGACTTCTGAAAACAGCTTCATTTCTTAGTGATCAAATCCTGTCACCATCATAACTACGCTCTCAGCTATGTCTTGTGTTCATCGGGCTGAAGTCTTGTTCTCACAGTCTGCAGTAGGTGCTTTCATGTGTCTTTTTTTACCAAGAAGAGGCATCCGGATCTCTGGAGCCATGCCAGGGGGACCATCTGGTTCTCGGTCCCCTCTCTCACCGGGCCCTTCCCCCTGATTGCTACATTTAGAAGAAGAATTGGGAGGGATGAACCCCTCTTTAATGGTCTCACATGCAGAGCACACACAGTGACATGTGTTCTCTGCATTTAACCCATCCTAGTACCAGGAGTCTAGTACTAGGAGCAGTGGGCAGCTATTGTACAGCGCCCGGGGAGCAATGGGAGTGAGGGGGGAAGGGGGGTGTCCGGCAGGGCAGGAGTTGAACTGGGACCTCTCCAAGTAGCAGTCCACACTCCATATTTTAGGTTTGGTCGGGGACTTGAACCGGCGACCCTACGGCTCACAGTCCAAGCCCCTACTGACTGAGCCACTGCCGGTAAGGTGGGGTAGGAGGTGGGGAGGGGGGGCAGCTTTAGGAAGAGTCCTGATTGTTCCAAACGTCCTCCATTTAACAATCACCAAGCCCACTGTGGCCTTGGGAACCTGAAATGGTATGCGTTTTTCGGCAAGGAATACAAAAATCTCAAATCTGAGAAGTGAAAGAAACCTGATTGAATTGAAGGTGTTGACTTGTTTACTGGTACATACTGGAAAGGGAAACTTCACAGAGTACACATGAAGGTCACTTTTCTCCTCATGGCCAGTAAAACAGTTGGAGTGAATGTTTACCAGGAAAGCGGGGTCTAGTAAAATATTCAATTTGTTGCATTATGGGACATGTAGTACCCTGGATTTGTGTCTCTTGACCAACATGGGACTAACAAATGCAATATTTTGGCTTCTGTTGCTTCAATGTTTATCATCTCTTCAAAATTCAGACTTGTGTTTCCAATAACTTCATAAAAGAGCAATATTACATCTTTGAATAATTGTGTTTACAGTATTAGAAGAGTTTTAAGGCCAGACCTCAGAAGAAAAAAAATTAGAGGAAGATGTTTTTATTTGACTTTGCATTATAAATTCTAAAAGTTGTGAATGAGGTTGACATTTTGAGAATACACTTTAAAAAATGAAGCTTTTGAGTATTAGACATTCTCAAAAAAGTCAAATAAATTAAAAGTGTGTGTCATCTTTTTGTTTATTTACTTTCTGACTGGCTCTAATAGTCTTTACATATCTATACTTTGTGCATTCTTCAATCAATCTAATGCAGGGTAAGCTTTAAATAAATGTTTCTTTTTGCATATTGGAAATAACCAAGGTCTTTAAAAATGATAGAAAAATGATATACACAAATATATCAATAATTAAACATAGTAATAGTAAAATACAGCAAGGTAGTACTGGAAACAGAAAGTCCTGTTAGAAAATTGGATCAATGTAGAAATGTGATAATTAAAAAAACAGCGTGCAGATTAAGCCCAAAGGTAGAAAAGGTTTATTACTGAAAAGGCATCGAAACATTCCCTTTGAACTGGTAAACAAGTCAGAGTTACATTCTCAGAAGGTAAAATAGCTCGGTCTCTTCCAGCTGTTCACACTGTGGTGCAGCTGTGCAGGCAGTGTCTCCAAGCATCACACACCATACAGCTTTGTGCTCAAACAGAACATCTTCATGAAAGTCTTAGAAAAACGTGGGAATGCATTCCAGAGTTCATATACAACCGTCCATCTTTTTACTACTCATGCAGGAAAGCCTCTGGATCCTTTAGACTCACAAATGAGAAACCTCTCTAACATGGAACTCTCTACAGATATGGATAATGATTCATCAATACTCATTATATAAGAGGAGATTCAATAAATAATGCATCAAATTGCTCAAACAATTGTAAACAGCAAAGAAAATTGGCATCTCATAACCACTTTAGTATTTTGTGTATTTACAGAACAGATGTTTTACATGGTGGAGCTCATATGAACTGCAGGTGTTTTTTTAAAGAATTGAGAATAGATTTAAAAAATCAATTAAAAGACATACGTATGCAAGGGTTCAGGGTTTGAAGAACAGCATGGTTATCACATACAAAGTCATGGAACAGTTCCAGACACCCATGCAACAATCCAATAACTAACAAGTCTAGAACAGTTTGGGACCTGAATGCAACCTGACAAAAGTGCAAAAAAAACGTTATACTTGAAATTTTTCAAACCAAATTAACTGTAGTATAAATGTTAAACTCTTGTGCTGAATGTGTGTGACGCAGTTTATTTTCTCATAGCTGGCTGACACAGGGGAGGGGGATTAAATGTACTGTATAATGCCTTAAAACCAGCATGTGTTCGCGTTGTTCAGTTGATGAAATAGACTTTTTTACTCAATCAGTTGAATTGCTCAACATGTAACATGTCTGATGTAAACTATTCCTACATGTAATTAGTGTAATGTCCCAAAGTTTGCTTATGGCTGAAAAATGTATGCGAAGTACAAATCGTGACTTATGTTCTAAAACCTTCAAACCAGACAACACAGTGGCTGCTGTAAACCAAAGGAAGTCATGCTCCAAAGAATAACGGGCTTTATTGTCTACTTTGCTCTAAATTGAATTGAAAATTGACAAAATGAACATCATGCTCAGTAGCAACAAGTTGTAACTAGCAATTGAGCCAATAAACTTGTTAGGAAAACATTTACTGAGGTAATAAATCAAGTCATAAATTGGTCATTTTCTCATAGACTTCTATACAATCTGACAGTGAAGTCGCCCCCTGCTGGCCATTAGAGAGGAGGCAGGTTTAAGGCACTTCTGCAATGGGTGCTCTTTTCAGATTTGAAGGGTTTCTGCCTTTTGCAAACCTTGTGGGGAAATGGTAACATTAGTGTGTATCTGTTATCCAGCAGCAGGTAGCATTAACAGCTGATGAGGACAGAAAAGAGTTTGGAAACTAGCGGGCCGTCTCCACAGCAGCGTTAAAAAAATCTTGAAACGCTTCTGCCCATTCACTTTGAATGGGGTGACGTCACTTTTCCTCACTTTTCGCCGAAATGCATTGTGGGCAGGCGAGCGGAGATTTTGAGGATTTTGAGGATTCAAAATTCAAAAATTAAAGTTGAACAATGTTCAACTTTTGAAGCTGAGGTGGAAGCGGCAGCCAATCAAATCCCGTGTACGCAAATCTGACCGTTCAAGCTCTAGCCAATCAAACGGCGTGTATGCTGGGAGAGACATACTGCAGGTCATTTCCTCATATTCCAAAAAATGGAGGAGAAATTAGCGGTAGCGAATCAATCACCCGGTGCTTTATGACCAGACCTACCGGGATATAAACCGGAGGAGCCAGGCATGGAGGGAGGTGGCAGAGACAGTGGTATGTTTTCGCCTGTTTTGGGGAGTTTATATCCAGTTTACTTCGGGCTTTTTGGCTTCGTATGTCGCGGGCGGGAGATTCATGTGATTGGTTGTTCGCAAAAAATCCCCAAGCTTCAGATACGCCCACCTCCAAGATTTTTTTAACGCTGCTGTGGAGACGGACTGCTGTCTAAAAGATTGAAAATAGTTAGTTTGATTTTCTCCATAGGGTTGACCGATGCAGTTACATCCCGGAGTGCTGATGTTTGTCACCAAAACATAATTTAATGGTTTTATTGTTGAAAGGGAAACACAGTGTACCTCACAATTACTCAATTACACTTGGGGTGGTTTACATTTGTTCAGGGCACCTCATGATGTCTTTGAAACGACAGGAGAATCTTGGAGAATGAAAGAAAATAGCTATGATCCTGTATTTGCTACTTTTATTCTCCTATGATGTTCTAAATACTTTATCAAAAGCATCTTTGTCATGTAATGAGTCTGTGGGAAACACCCAATGCTTAAAGGTGTTGAGGTTTAAAAATGGCAGAAATTGAAGGAATGATTGCAGATTTCAGGAAGTAGTCATTCTGATCTGTGTGTTGTTTTTACAAAGAAAGGTCCAGGATACTTCAGCCTATGTTAGACATTGTTTCCCAGAACGTTGGACTTATCTTGAATATTATCTCAAAATCTCAGCTGTCATAACTTCAATGTAAAAAATGTTCATACTTTCTTTCATAAAGCCACCTTACAACCCCTCTAGGAAATGAGGTAAAGCTGCCTTCAGGGTTGGATGTTCCCATACAGCATTATGTCAACATGATTTTCTATGAAGGTAAGAAGAAATGATTTGAAATAAATAAATAAGACGGTTAGTGTGAGTTTTGTCTCTCTCCTGGTTGGTGGTTTTCCGTTGTGTCCTGCAGTCATATCCTCCTCGCTTCAGCTCCTGCGTGCTTCTGCAAAACAAGTCGGACCGGTTCAGCAAAAGGAAAATAAAGACGACAGTTTTACTGCTATACAGGACTCGTGACTTCCATACTAAAGGTCATGAAAGTATTAAGACGTTTCAAAAGAGAAGAAAGAACATGTTCAGCTCATTAGAATAATATTATTTATTTATCTGACACAGATTGAGAGGGAATTATCATCTGTGACAAAGGTAGCTAACATGTAAACTACTGCTCATACACAGGGGTTACATTGAGATGTATTATGTGGGGGGGCTCTGCTGTGTCAAGGACAATATTGAAATATACACACACTTTTACAGATATCCAAATATTTCCATGTGCCATTCCAAATGCCATTTCCCTCCCGGTAGGAGCAGCAGAGCCCAGGGTTGCGGTCGAATAGTCCATTTAGCTTAGGAACCTTCCTAACGGAGTGAAATGACCCGGAAGTCCCTCAGTGGCAGCCATGATAAGTGCCGTTCCAATTCTCTAATTGAAAGGAAAGGAGGTTTCAAACTTCCTTTATAACCTCCTTTAGCTTAGGAACCACTGGACCTCCCTAAGCTAAAGGAGAGGAGAAAATGCTGCCCCACAATGCCTTGCGGCCGCGGCATTTGCCGTCACACAACAGTCGGCCGTTCACGGAAACAACCGATTATGACGGAGAAATGATATCATGAAAGTTACGGTGCTTATTAAGCATTTTAAAACGTATGTGGTAAGTTGCCAAAGTGCTTTGTTTTGAACGTTCATCAGTATTATAATCAAAAAGAGAAATATGAACGTTAGTTTTGACTGAAATGATCAAATAAAGTCAACATTTCACAGTCTTTACTGAGCTGTGTGGGGTTTGTTCAACTTTTCAAAGATGTTTGAATGGTGATATACACAGGGATAGATGTTAAGGACTAATGTTTATAATAAATACATTTGTATTGATTTTAAGATCTTTTCATACAATCATACGTATTGGGATCATTTGTATTAATGTGGACCGGAGGGAGAGGGTGACGAGCATAAGTTTCACTTTCCTTTTTTATTTCAATTCCAACTTTGGTCATGAAGAATATGTTCCTCTGTTGTCCCCGTTCATAAAGCATAAAACAACAGCATCAGAGCACGCTGCAGAGTCTCTAGATGAGTTTACAGTAGTCCCTCGTTCTTATTAAACATCCATGTTGTAGTCCGCTGTATAGAAAACTGTAGTTTCCATAGTTTCCCCACAGCAGCAGACGCACATTTATGACGTCCGCTGGCGCATCATAAACACGTCGGATAGTGAAAGTGCAGTCGGATTCTCTAAAGTACCGCAGTCTCTTCTCCTAAGTCCTTTTGAATTCTCCTATCCACTATCCCTTAACCCCGTGACCTTTTACTCAGAGGTCAAGGGATAGACGATAGGGATAGAACTTAGGAGCTGTTTTTTGGACTATTGGACCACAACCCAGATGGCAGCTTCCAGAGAATGGGACCAGTGCCTTTATTGTACAGGCAGAATGGAAACACCCGGGTCCGCTGCTTGAGGACCAGGCCCCAAAACATGGGGCTGTAGGCGGCCCCTTTTTAATTTAATCCCTAGTCCTAGAAGACCCAGTTAGGCTGTAGCAGCAAAATCCCTGAGTGTATTCAATTAGGAAAGAAAGGTTATTTTATGGTCTGTGCAGAGTGCCTTTTTTCTTTTCTCTCTCGTCATATTTGATGACGTCATTGCCCATATAAAAAAGGGCGAAGGTTGATCTTTTTGAGTAAGAAGTACAACTGTGGAGTAGAACTATAAAGAAGCATACAATAAAAACACTCAAAGTACAAGCCCCAACAATGGTACTTAAGTACAGTACTGCAGTAGGTGTACTTCACTCTGGCGGCTGTACCTGTCAGACGGCGCTGTGCTGCTGCAGCTGGCTGGTGAAGAAGCGCTCTCTCCGGGACACCTGCTCGTCCCAGGCCTCCAGGATCTGCCGCTGCTCCCCAGGCTCCAGGCTCAGGGTGTGGGGGTGGGCCTCGTCGATGTGGGCCCTCACCCCCTCCAGGCTGTGGGAGTACTGCAGCTCCCCGCACACCATGCACACCAGCAGCTGGTTCAGAGGGTCGTGGTCCATGAGGTAGCGGTTCCTCCACACGGCGTCAGAGACTGGACCCTCCTCTTCATCCTGATCATAGTCTGCAAACTGAAGATCTGACTCATCTGAGGAGAGGAAGGAAACACAATTCCCCATTTGGATGAGCACTCTCAGGAAGACATTCATAATAGTAGAAAAACCACACAATGTTGTACTTCATCACTGTAGAGACAGTTTTAGATACTGTGTATACGATCAGCTACTTCAGCCAGTGACTTCATTATTATTAGAAGTCACTGGTGTAAAGTCAGTACATTTACTCAAGTGCTGTATTTAACTACAGTTATGAGGTATTTGTACTTTACTTGAGTATCTGCACAATGACTACTTTTACTTTTGGTACTTCAACTATATTTTGATGATAATACTTTCCTATTTTTACTTGAGTAACATTTTGAATGCAGGTCTTTTACTGTAACAGAGTATTCCTACACTCTGGTACTTATTGTACTTAAGTACAAAATCTGAGTACTTCTACTTAAGTACAAGATCCGAGTACTTCTTCTACCGGAAGAAGTCCTTTGCTAAGTACAATGTTGAGGAACTTTTGCTTGAGTATTTTCATTTGTGCTACTTCATATTTCTACTGAACTACAATTCAGACGCCAATACTGTGCTCTTTCAGATGAATATTCTAAGCTATAACCAACACATAATGTATCATGTCTTATTATAGGTTAAGATCACTTGTTCATCAGTTTGTTTTCCAATAAAAAGTAACTTATTACTGAAGATGTCAAATGAATCAGCACTGAAAAAACTGAACAGTTGACTTTAATTAAATGTCAAAAGATCACATAACTGTATTAAGTTAGTAGAAAGCAATAATATTCAATTCAAAATATTATGTTCAACTTAATATATTTGCTTTCAACTAACCTAATACAGTTACTTGAATTTTATTGACATTATACATTTAATGAAAGTCAACATTTCAGTTTTTTCAGCACTTGTGTTCAAATTGTATTTACTTGATTACATTACTGGAGTAAATGTACTTTGCTTCCACCTCTCTGCATTACTCTCAGTTCACAGGGACAGAGTTGATACGTTACCTTGTGCTGGAGCTGAGAAGCCGGAGAATGAAAAGGATGCTGGGTCGGTGTCCTTTGACGTGCTTTAAAGAGAGAAACATTACATTCATCATCACATCGAGCTGGCATCTAAACTCTTTTGAAAAACATAGATCAAGTAATACAAACCTCATGAAATGTTCCGACTCCTCAGAGGAGCTCACCCACTGACCACAATTCTGCAGGGAACATCAGAAAATCAGGGTTTGAACAAAAATAATTCAGATTGTAATGAACTCATCTTTGGCCCCTGGTAGACCCTCACACTATACAGACTGGGTTGTACACCTGTAATGTACAATATATACACTTTGTTCTGGAAATTCTACTGAGCAACAACCATCATTATTTTTGAGTGCAAAACATAATTGTTATCAAACCTTAATATGTCCACTTAGCTATTTCAATGCTGTTACTCATTTGGAGAAGTACTGATTTGTCTTTATTTAAAACATTTAAATACTAATACTAATTAACATACTAATGTGTGCTTTTCTCTATATTTAACATGTTAGCTACTTTATTATTGCCTTTTAGAATATCTATAGAGCGTATATGTATTGAATACACAATATAATATACACATACACAGAATACGAGGCAGTGTAAATGATGCTTGTCCAGCCTATCAACCTCCCAAATTGTAAAAATGTAATACAATTGACACGATATCACGTTTGAAGTAAGGCTGATTCATCATTCATCATGAGTCTGATTTGTTCCTCACAATTTAAAATGTATAATTCAGTTTTTATAAACACCTAAGCAGCTTTTACCTGTGTGTGCAGATCCTGGGCAGGCAGGATGGACCTCAGGTGGTTGGGGGTTCCCCCCGGGGAGACCCCCTTCTCCCGGATGGCCTTCCTGGCTCTCTGCTCCTTCTTCTTTACCCTCCAGTACTCCCTCTTCCTCCTCAGGAAGTCTTCCTCAGACTCCCCTGGGATGGCCTTTGGTGGAACCATGGAGCATGTTGGTGTGTGAGTTTGTATGATGTGTGTGGCGCTCTGAAGCTGAGCACAAGGGATTTTTATTGGACTGGAACTCAGAGTGTGGGGGGGTTCAATAGGTTGCAGGTTGATGCTGGATAGTGGGTTCTCTGGGGGCTTCAGAGGAGGCATGAAGGGGGGTTTGTGTACACCTGTGCGAGTTGGCGTCCACTTTTGTGTCATGCCTTGATGATTCTCGTGATCTCCTCGATGTGTGGACACCATCTGCCCAGTGTCCATGTGGTTCTGCTGGGTCCTGGGGGGGCGGGAGGCAGGGGGGACGGGCAGCTTGACCTGGATCCTGTCAGGGGACTGGTTAGCGCTACATGTTGTAGGGCTAACCACCAGGAGAGTGGGGACACCACTCACTGCAGACAGAGAGGAGGGGGGGGGGCGGGGATGGAGGGGTCGCTTCACTGGAGGATGCCCCCCCTTCACAGTGTTGATGATGAGCCGACCTGGAGCCTGAAGACAAAAACACAACATGGAAATGATCCCACAGGTCAACACAATGAAATAGAACATTTTATATTCAGTATTCTATGTGGTTCATGTCCTTGCTACTGTAGATATGAAATACCTCTCCCATGCTGGAGAGTTATTTATTTTGGTCTTGTAATGTTTTGTGTGGCTTCTGGGAAATATCTATAGGATATAGAATTATCAGAAACCAAGGAAAATGGGTAAGATATAGAACATAACACTTTTGAGGTGACAATGTAGTATGAGTATTAATGTGGTATCCATTATGTGCAGAGCTGGGAGAAGTACTCAGATCGTGTTCTTGTAGTAAAAGTAGAAGTACCAGAGTGTAAGATTGGATTGCAAATGTTACTCAAGTAAAAGTACAAAAGTATAAGCATCAAAATATAGTTACTCGTACTTACTCCAGGTGGAACTAAAGTCTGATTTAAGAGTTGATTATATTTTGTTATGTATGCCAATCATTTCATAAAATGCAAATAAAACACAAACAGACAATAATCTTTCTGAAACATGCATGCGTGTGCCTTTCTCGTTCAGTGGGCCCCTCTTAGTCGACGACTCTCTATTTTTGCTGTTCAAATGTCAAATGGCAGCCAGAGGTTTGCAGTGTGCTGACTCCGGTTACAGCTGGAGAGTGAACGGGGAACCTTGAACTCTGCATGGGTTCCAACCACTCTCTCAGCATTGACACTGATATCTTTAGTATCAACGGATGCTTTGAATTCAGTCATCAGAATTAATCATCTCAAGGGATTATAAACGGATCTTTGTGGGTTTATCTTAACACCGTCGCTCTAGCTATAAAGGCTTTGAGACTTGTTCTTGGATACCAGCGTATTATCCCAGCAAAATAAAAGTTATTGCTCAAAACTAACCAGCCAAAAGTGCAGCTAACATCTGCTCCACATGTGTCTTTCCTCACAGCTAAAACCTGTTCCTGGGGTTTCAGCCCATGGCCTGGCCTGAATGGGTAACAACTACTGTACTGGCCCGCAAATATGAAATACAGTGTCCCTTAAACAAAGGCTAATTAGCATACTGTTAGCATGTGTTAGCATTTTTTTTTTTTTAATTTAACCTTTAATTTAACATAGATAAAAGCATTGAGATAAAATCTCATTTTCAATGCTGACTTGGCCAAGAAGGCAGCAACATTACACATAACACATAACACAAAGATATAAAATACAGAGAACATAACTAAGAAAACTAAAGACGAAAAAGCAGTCACTACATTGTGCACATTAGGACAGTAAGAAAAGTACACTACTTGTTACTGCAAGAGCAGCTGGTGGTAAGGACCTCAGACAACTTCAACTTAAAGCATGCTATTGAGACAAGTGCCCTCAGTTTAAGGCGTGATTGAAGGTCATTCCAAGACCAAGGACCATAAAAAAAAAAAGACTCCTTTTTCCAGCCTCAGTCCGCACAGCAGGAACCTGGACCCGTATCCAGGCACTGGATCTGAGGTTGTAAGAGTCACAAACTGGGGCAAATCTGACACATATGTAGAGTGGAAGCTTACCTAAAATGGCTTTATACATTACAGTGGCGAGCCGTGAGCTTTATACCTAGGCCCTCTGACCCCCACCCCTTCCCTCGAAAAAAAGACGTTATTACGTCACAGCGTATACTTCAGCGGAATATCAAAACAACGGCCCAGGGTGCAAAACGCATCAATGACAGCGACCCTCTACCACACAAAACAACACCTGTGAACCCAATTTGTGTTCTTTGACATTGAAAATGATATTGCATTGTGTTTGTTACTTTCATTGCAGTTGTATGTCTTAAGTGTAATTTGGCATGCTTTTATTTTGAAGGCGAGTTCACGCTGTTGACAGGAAGTTGTTGTTGCTATGGAAACAAGAAAAGTTTCACAGCGGGCGGAACTCGTCATAAAGTCCGCGATAATAAAACCCACCCATTTAGAGGGAAGATATGATTGGTCAATTGTACTGTCATTTGACATTACTCTCTCGTTCAGTTACTATAGCGGGCCCTCTGTGAATCGCAGAGAGGCCCGCTATAGTAACTGACATTCAAACAGAGACTGAACAGGCAGATTCGAAGGATTTATTTCTTTGGAAATGTTATTTTATTAAATCAAGTTTTTTTTCGGTAAAACTAATGAAAAATATAACAAAAATAATATTAAAAAAATATATATTTAAAAAAAATATTTTTTTTTTTAATGTTTTTAAATATTATTTTTTGGAATATCTTAGGCCCTCACAGAGGGCCTAGAGGGCCCTGACGGCTCGCCACTGATACATTAATAAAAACCAATGCTGCATCCTACGCATAGTAAGTGAGGACCATCCAGTTAGGCTAGCATGAAAGATGACATTTCCTATGACTCTGAGCCAACAGCCTAACAAATATATGTTACTGCTGTCAAACAGAGATTGTGATGTAACAAAATAAGCATGGTGTGCAGACCCCTGATGTTACAGTAGGTAACTGAGTACATTTACTAAGTATTATAAGTAATGTACTTAAGTCATCTTTTGACATACTTTACTGGTGTTTGACTGTATGTATCTATGTATGTGTATATATATATATATATGTCAATCAACAAGTAAAGCAGATTAATAATAACAATAATTATTATTATTAATAATAATGATAATTATTTAGATTATAAATAAATAATTTAGGGACAAGGGGGTGAGATTAAATAAATGATGCTTCTTCTCACTCCTTTTCGAACACTAGATGTGGGACTGTTTATGTTGCTAATGCTGTTGTAAATGTCACTTTGTTTTCTCTTACATGACTATGCACCGCAAAAAAAATGTGTTTTGTAAATTATTATTATTGTAAAACCTACCTGGTGATAAACCCCTTTCTGATTCTGATGCTGATTCTACTTTATACTTCTACTCCACTACAATTAAGAGGCTAATATCTTACTTTTTACTCCACTACATGTATTTCATAACCATAATAGTATAATACTGGTAAATGATCCATTCTGCATTCGGAGTGCATACTTGTACATTTAGCTCATAATACTTCCGTTCTTTATTATATTCTGAAATAGGCCATTCTGTAGAATGAGTACTTTCCCTTTTTGTACTTGAAGTATATTTTAATACTTTTACTAAAGGACAATTTTGAAGTTAGGACTCTTACTTGTAGTGTAGTACTTTAAGACCATCGTATTTGTAAAGTAAAGGATCCGAGTAATTCTTCCAACACTTGTAACGGACTGAAAAAACCAACATCAATGTGTTTGTTGTTAACATGTTAGTGTCATGCATGTTAGGAAAACGAAAGAGTAGACGACTACAATTCATTTCAGCTACTTGTACTTTACCCAGGTATTTTCCTTTTATACAACTTTATACTCTACTTCATTTTGGAAGCAAATATTGTAGTTTTTACTCACTACATTTATTTTACAGATGTTATACTAGTTACTTTATAAATTCAGATTTTGACACACAACACCTATGAAAAACTTTAACAAGGTGATTATTTGTTATAGATTAAACCATCCAACATTATATTTAGCTAAATAATTCATAACTAAAACAATGTGTGGGTTAACAGACAGCAATTCTGCTAAAACGTTTCTTTTTTCTAAAATATTTCACAGTTCCAGCTTCTTAAATGTGAAGATTTGCTGCTTTTGCTTTAAAATATAACAAATATTTTATGAGTTTTATGAGTTTTTTCTGTAATGAGTACTTTTACACCTAATACTTTAGGTATATTTTCCTTATCGTACTTAAATACCTTTAATTAAAACCATTCCTGATGCAGTACTTTTACTTGAAGTTAAGTATTTTTACAGTGTGGTAAAAATCGAAATACTTTTTCCGCAATGGAATGTCAGCTACATGTTGCAAAGGGTACACAATGATCATTATTTGCATGTGTCTCATTACCTGAGTGTGTTTGGGTCGACTGCTGCTTTCTGCCTGTCTCTCTCTCTGCCTGGCTCTTAGCCTGGCCCTCTGCTGCCTCTTCATCAGCTTCCAGTACTCCCTCTTCCTCTGCAGGCTCATCATCCCACTGTGCTCGGGCCCCACGCTGCAGTATCCTTCAGCTGACGGGGAGTTTTGGCCTTCTTCTTGAATGTCTTGTTCACAGTGTTGTTGCTGTGGTTGCAGTTGAACCATGGGTAGGTGGTGTAGCTTTGGTGGCTCTGGGGAACAGCTGCTTTCATGGCTTTCTGTTTTGGTGGGAAGACTCAGGGTTCTGTGTGGTGAAGATGGGATGTCAGAGGCTTCCACTGAGGGGTCCAATATGAAATTTGAATGGGTTTGGGATGAGTGCTCACAGGTGGGATTCAGGACTACCTCGTTGGAGTTGGGAGGATGCGTGTCGCTACTTTGGGGTGCGTCTTTGAGATGAGGGCTTTGTGACCCCGCTGGTACCAAAGCATCGCCATCGCTTTTTATCTCCAATGTCAAATCAGCAGCAATGGGAGCCCCCTCATTCTGGGGTAAGGTGGGCTCCATCTCTTGCTGTGAGGCCTCCTCCTTCGACTCTATTTTGATGTGGGTCACTGTGCTCAGGGATTCTTCCAGGAGTTTCTTCATGGAGGCCACGGCTAGCAGAGTGGTAGCCTGGCTGTCTGAACTCAGAGCTGGGTCAGGCTCCGGCTGAGGCGCTGGAGGTGGTGGTGGTGGGGAGGTGGGGGGGCTGATTTCTGGACAGATGGCATGTTCTGGTTGAGAATTTAGGTCAACTGCTGGCACAGGCTCAGACTCTTGTTTGATCTCATTTGCATTTGGCGTAATAGGCACACTGTTGTTGGGGAGAGATTGTGCGTATCCTGTGAGACTCCCACCTTGTGTGGCAGTGGTTTCTGCTGCTTGCTTCTGGGCCCTCCTCCTCTGTAAGGCTGCAGTGGCCCTGGCATGTAAGACCCCCTGCTTCAGTCGAGCAGAGCGGGCTGCCCTCTGCTCTCGTTTCTTTATCCTCCAGTACTCCCTCTTTTTAGCCATCCTCTCCTCCTCTGTTAACGCTGGATCCAGAGAGAGCGCTGACAGAGACACCGCACTACTCGAGACGGTCATTTTCATGACACAGCCACCGAGGTTAGACCCTGCTGTCGGCCCTCCAGTAACGGTGTTTTGAGAGATTTGAGGACGAGTGAGTCTGATCTGACTAACAGTTTGGATTGCTGACTTGTGTGGATTACTAACAGTTGTGCTTTCAAGTTGAGTCCTTGGTCTGATTGGCAGTAGTCTCGGAGGCTTGTTGACCGACTGTCCAGCAGGAGGAAAAGTGACTCTTACCTGAGTAGGGAGAGGTGGAGGGGGGGGCTGGTTTACACGAATGGGTGTGGTGCCTTTCTGTTGAGTATTAGGTGGATGCTGAGGTTTTGAGATGGATGTATTATTAGCTTCTACGTGACACTCTTCTTCACCTCTACGTGCTGCAGTGTTGTGATCCGTAGAAACCTGGGGAATGTTAATGGTCAGTGTCCCGTCCTCTTTGATGAACCCTCCAATGGTCTCAGAGGCGTTGGTCAGGGTGCTCCCTCCCGATTGGGCCATGGCTCTGGCCCTCCTTATCTCCTCTAGGATGTCCTGGTAACGCTTCACTCTTCGCATCAGAGAGTCCTTCTCCATCAAACGACCCCTCACTTCCATTGACAGCTTAGCTCGCTGCTCGCGCTTCTTTATCCGCCAATACTCTCGCCGTTTGGCTATGATCTGCTCAGGTGTGTCGTTGGGGTCGATTTGGGGCATATTTCTGCTACCATAGACTGAAGAAAGAAACGGGGATTTACATCTTATGTTTCTTTGATTCATGAAATTCCTCTGGGCGTCGATAATCCTTTGCCTAGGTGTTTTACAACGAGCGATCCCTTTGGAAACATTAGAAATATTGACATAACTTGGAAGCTTTCTCTGGGTCTCCCCTCGCTTTCTCGCGGATATAACATTACATGTGATGGCTGTCTGTGGTGTCCTATTCCCATGTGGGTTTTGTGGTATTATCCGATTTGTTTGCAGGTTAACTGTAGCTAACCTTGCTGCCCAACTTTGCACTTTATACGTTTCCCTTTTGGCAGATGTAAAGGAAGTTTTGACCCGGGTAGGACACTGCTTCTGGACGGCCCCTCTCAACAACGACTGAGATGGAAGATGCTGAAGAATGGCGCCCCCTACAAGTCCTGCTTTCTGTGCTGTTTGCCTTGCCATCGTCATCTCACCGCTCTGTGTCCTTTCTCTCGCTTTAGCCACCTGAGCTGCCTGCTTCGCCCTCTGCTCTCGCTTTTTGATCCGCCATTGCTCTCTGCGCCTGGCTGCTCTCTGGTCCTCTGGCTCCATGACAGAGTGCGAGTTGCTAACACCTTTAGCCCTCTGCATGGTGACCAAGGCACTCTTTGTTCCACTCTGAGGTGTCGCTGTTTGGCCCTCTGTTTTAATAGAAACTGGGACACATGGAGAAGACACAATAATCATACCTGTGGTCACATTGGGGGGTGAGAGTTTGGGCTGAATGCGTAATACAACTTGTGCCTTATTCTGCATTTTTGGGACTGACGCACCCTGCATAGACACGCATGGCTGAGGGTGTGTTTTAGCGGAGCTGCCGTTGGTAGTTCTGGTCACTCTGACTAGAGGCACTGAGTTCAGCTGGGTTCCACTGTGAGAGGTGACAGCTCTGCTCACAGCACCCCTTACTGTAGCTACGTTGCGCCTAGCAGCTATGGCAGGGATGGAACTTGATGCAGTGAACTGAGGCAAGACCTTGTTGAGTTCCATCGTACTGAGCCATTTCTCCTTTCTGTCAGGGGCTTCAACTGAGCTGTCCCCCACTCTTTTCCCAGTCTGTGGTGCAGGAGATACGTTGACTGCTTTGTACGAGCCATCGTTACTCTGCAAAGGAGAGGAGAAAGCAGCAAAAGAGCCGGATAAAGTGGAATTCCCCGCTGCAGGGGCGTGTAGATGTACGAACTTTCCCCCTTGACTGTTGTGTGAGGACTTTCCTCTGCGCTCTGTCAGTCGGGCCCTCTGTTCTCGTTTCTTTGTTCTCCAGTATTGTCTCTTTTGGGTGAGGGTGGCATCATCATATTCCGAGGCCGGACGGTAGCGGTGGGACGCTGAACCAGCTTTGTCTTTTGCAGTTGGCATCGCAAGCTTGGACAGCCCATCAGTTCTCGTCCAAAAGTACTGGTTGGCTATTCCCTTGTCACACTGATTCAATTCATCCCCTTAGTCGTCCCTCCATTAACATACATGGTGTCCTCCTATATGAAGCCGCAGTAGGTGTGATGCTCTGCTGAGCAGCTGCCAAATCTCTCAAACATCACATCGGTATGCATATGACCTGAGAAGAAAAAAAACAAGTCTTAGTTGCATGTTACTTTGTCCTAATCCTGATATCAAAGACAGTGTGATCTTAGGCAACTACACATGTTCTAACAAAGTCATTGTATTTAATAGTCTTTAAAAATAAGTGAAGCATTCTGATAAAAATGACTTAAAGTTGTGTAACGATAAAATGTACGACATGAATTTGATTAGTAAGCTGTATTGAAGCACATTATCAAACCATTTATATTGTTTCCTACAAAAAGCACACGTGAACAGGTCCGAAAGCGAAAGGATTTTCAGATATTTCTCACTTGTAAAACAAAGGAATACACTAATATGTGAGTTTAGATTAGATATGACTCCCAGTTAATTTTTCATGTGGTTTATCACATTTGAAACAGTTAATATGCAATGGATTCACATATAGTTAGGATAATTGTGAAAACATGAATTTAACATGCTTACGAAGTAACTCTTGATTTATTACTAAAGAGATAAATTACATTTGGGCTCGTGCAAGTGTTTCTCTTTCCAGTGACGCTTGTTTAAATGGATTACATGTAGATCAAGACAATGCATGTGTAAGCTAAGACGCCCATCTCCTATCTCACAACACGATTCCCACGTGAGACAGGCTAAATGTTTTTAGTGGCTGAATATTCAAATGTACTATTTACAACTATGAATACAAAATATCTGCAAACCACAGCATATCTGCTGATACAAACACGTCGCGTGCATGTAGCATATGTAAAGCTACAGGAACCAGGAAGGAAGCAGAGCGACACTGTCCCTTTAAACCTGTCCCTCTCTATCACAAATTATATCTGTCGAGAGCCATTTTAATTCTTTTTTCTGTGTCTATTTGATAATAAACGCAGCGAAACGACCCAGCTGATGCCTAACTAACGATACACACAGAAATACGGTGAATAAGAAGCAGCTTCCGGGCGTAAATCGAGCCTGAACGCTGTGTCTCTCTCAGGCACAATGGACAGGATCTTCCTGTTCTGTCCACACGGACTGTCTGAGTGTGCTGCCTGTCTAAAAGAAGAAAACCCGCGCATTACTGTCGTAAAGCAGGCCGTTTGGAAACATGTGTAAGAAAAACATGCATACCCGATACCTTTTAGTTACACCTAACTTTCCGGGACAGTTTTTGTGAACGTTTTTGGACAGATATATTGCCAGGACACTGCAGCTACTTTCCGCCAGCCAACCGTGCTCTGAGGCTGCCTTGACAACGCTGAAAAGTACCAGGATGTAGGACCTGGATGCGCGCGCTTGTGTGTGCGTGTACTATACGTTTTGGACACACAGACACAGCACAGTGAAACGCCCCCTTCTTTTCAAATCCGAGCAGAAAAATGATATAAATATAAAAAATTGTGACTTTTATCTTGCATGCATTAATTACAACCAGCCTGGCTTGCTTGTTAGGCCTAAGCTTGTTTTACTTCAATATTTAGTGAAATGTGGAACAGTAGCCTACATACATAACCAATCTAAACAGCATCCAGAAAATGCACAGTGATTACATAAACAGGCAGTAACATATAGTCTTTACCAACTTGGAGCAGCTGCTGGACAAAGGTCCATTGATTTATTGGCTTTTTCTACAGATGACCTCGATTCGTGAGCAGAACCATCAGGGATAGGGCCACAGTGCGATTTATGGTTGGAATATTATAATAATATAGGCTATCATACCAAATGTGCATCATTGATGGGCTTAGCAGTAGGCCTACACACATTTGTAAATCATCTCGTCATGAATCCAAATCTATTTTCAAGGGAGATGGGCTCCATATCCATCTAAATTATAATGATTTAATTCCAGTATGAATTGAATAACTACAAATAACATAAAAAATAGGGCTGATAACATTATCCATTATCTATTTAGACGAACTGCAGTTGATTAGTAAGAAAACATGTTACAAATGTTCACTGTTCAGCTTCTAGCACATTTGCTGGTTTTCTTTGTCCTCTGACACAGCAAAATGAATGGGATTGGTCTACTGTTCAGACAAAACACGCCATTTGAATATGTCTGAGTATGTCAATTGGCCCTTGATTAAAGCACAAATTAATGACTTTAGCAAATACTGGGTATTTTTCTTTAAACAGTTAGCTGCAGCGCTATTTATAATCAAGCAAGCTATTATCTAGCATACCCACAATATAGCTCATTTTATAACAACACTAAACACAGGATTTCATTTAAAAACAGTATCCTTCAGGGGATCACCATGCAGCACAACATATGAGCTGGAGCTCATGGGGCCCTGATTCCCCATGGACCCGCCTCGCGTTTTAACCGATGCTCTGCCGAACCAATGCGCTTCTGTCATCGCTTGATTTTGTGAGAACAACCGCATTAGTATTAGCAGCTTATCAGTATTAGCGCCTGCTGCTACATTTGCTCCCCCCCCCCGGGGTGGGTGTGCATTGTCGACGCTGCTACTGTCTCTTTAAATTTACCCAGGAGCCCCTTAAGGAGCCCCAGGGGCCCCTAGTCCGGCTCCCCACCCTGAAGACAAGCAAGAGCCTTAAAATACATTACTGGAGGCCTTCACCGAGGCGCCACCACACAGCGCAGCGCGGAGGAAGTGGATTTCCAGCGGAATACATGACTGTGTGATTTTATGAAAAGTTAACTTGGCTCCCGTGCGGGGCGCGTGGGGGACATCGTAGAGCACGGGCTCCTCCGCGAGCGCCTGCTGCCAGATGCGTGTCGAGCGGAGCCGAGCGGTGTGAACATGTCACTGTTGTAACATGTTGTTTCAGTGTGACATGTCCCGCTTCTGCGCTGCCACACAGTGAAGAAGGAGGAACAGCAGCCACTATTAAACAGCGGCCAGGCCAGGGATGGAAGAGAAAGAGACGGGGGAGAGCGAGCCTGTGGACCTCCGGTGTGCCGAGCAGGCTGAGCTGCTCTCATTAATAATAAGCGGGGAGGAGGAAGCGACGCGAGAGGAGAGTGACTTGGGAGGTAAAGAAAAAACCTGGGGTTATTATTCTTGGTGTTTCTCACCGCAAAGTGGGACTGCGTGGCTGTCAGAGCCACGGCCATTGTCAGACAGCCAGTTAATCCGTGTAGGGACAATGCCATGGAGCAGCATGGCCCCTCCGTCTCTGTGGCTCCTATAAACAAAGGCTCAACAGCACGCAGGCAGGCGCACCAAGGCACTCAGGCGCCACCTAGTGGAGAGCACCGGTACCGGCAGACTCATACCAATGGATACACAATAATAATATGGGTTATTGGAATACATAATCCATATTAGATATATGTTACACCGGCAGTGGCTCAGTCAGTAGGGGCTTGGACTGTGAGCCGTAGGGTCGCCGGTTCAAGTCCCCGAACAGACCGAAATATGGAGTGTGGACTGCTACTTGGAGAGGTCCCAGTTCACCTCCTGCCCTGCCGTGGTGCCCTTGAGCAAGGCACCGAACATCCCCCTTCCCCCTCACTCCCATTGCTCCCCGGGCGCTGTACAATAGCTGCCCACTGCTCCTAGTACTAAAATGGGTTAAGAGCAGAGGCCAAATGTCACTGTGTGTGCTGTGTGCTCTGCATGTGTGATCATTAAAGAGGGTTTCATCCCTCCCAATTCTTCTATTCTATGAGATTCCTTTATGTAGAACTTAACACTCTCAATTGACTTGAACAGTGTGCAAACTGTGTTTCAAAGTTGTTTTATAAAGAGTGATAGTGCTAGAAATCCAATTGGAAAATGTCCAGCTGTCAATCATCAGAAGCCAAACAATGACCTCTGAGAATATCACATTTGAATAACATCTCTAATTGATTCTTTCTTTCTTTAAATTTGCAATTGAAATCAAGGGAGGCCTGTGAACAACCACAATCTGTGTATGAAAGAGTAGTCTAACATTAAGGTAAACTACGCAATGGCCCGGGACACAGAGAATAAAGCCTGATCCAAACATCTTTTTTTGTGGCTGATACCAAAGTTGTGTGAGTGTTTATGGGTCTGATATTTTTCTTTATAGAAGCACATAATATTTCTATTTTTAATTATTGTGAACCAGATGCTATTCATTAAGATGTACATTTACAATGCACAATTTAAACTGTAAAATGTTTAAATGAACAACTTTGGCATTCTTGTGTGCAATTCTCACACTTATAGAAACAGTAGATGTTGTTCCTAGTGTAACAGTGGTACAATAAAAGAAGAATATTAATTGTTGATGTAATTTATACATTCTTTAATGCATAAAAAGTGGTAAAATAGCCCATATTAGGAACCGGTAACAGATGAAAAGTAGAACTGGTGATCCAAACTCATGAGGGTGCCTTTTGAGATGTGTAGCCACCATAACAACATGTACATCACATCTCTCTTGTTTCTGTCAGATGAGGACAGTCTTGCCAACGGCCATGAGGAGGAGTCAGAGGCCGGCATGGTCACGCCTGTCGGGTCCCCAGGCACCAGCTACTGGAGCATCACAGAGGGCCCGGACCAGCCCCCCCTGCTCTCCCCGGCCCCCGGGCCCTCCGGACGCAAACCCAGGGTCCAGAGAGCGTCGCGCCCGGGCCTGAGCCGCATCCCCGGCCGAGACCACCGCCGCTACTACCACGAATACTGGCGCAGCGAGTACCTGATGGACTTCGACCCCCAGCGGCACGGGATGATCTGCATGGTGTGCGGCAGCTCGCTTGCCACCCTGAAGCTCAGCACCATCAAGAGGCACATCCGACAGAAGCACCCGGACTCTCTGCTGTGGAGCTCCGCAGACAAGGAGGTCATCCGCTCGGGCTGGGAGAGCCACTTGAGTCTGGGCGGGGGTCAAAGGGTATTCAGTTCTGCTGCGGGACCCTCGCCTGAGGAAGAGGAGGAGCAGCTGGACTCAGACCAACACAGTGCCGGTGGGTAGGAGCTTTCTACATCTCACACTTGGTGGCAGTGTGGCTTTATGTCTTGGCATGGTGGTGTGAGAGGAGAGGATGATGTCATGACTCAGTCCTGATGTATAGTTGGGCCTGCAGAGGGGGGAAGGTGCCTGGACGAGACTCTTCTGAGGAAGCCTGTGGTATATATTTCAGATGAAGTCAAACTAGAATCACACAATTGGATAATGTTTAAAAAAGCAATCTAATCCAGCCTTTTCACATACAAGGCAAAAAAAGCCAATACTATGGTTCTTACAAAAAAAAGGCCCAAAGTAGTTCTTATACTGTGTTCATGTGCTTCTGGTCTAATCTGATATTTCCAAATAGTCAAGCAGCACTGCTTAAATAAGCTATTTGTTCTACATTAAAACCGAGGAAACACTTGTAAAACAAAAGTAGATAAATATGTAAGAAGAGTTTTGACTGAACTCAGTTACCTGTCATTAAAACCAAAACGATGGTATTGGTGAAGCAGGGCTGTGGCCAGCCTCTGAACAAATACAGAATATTAGCCCCCCCTATAAAGCCATATCCCCCAAATATCAGTTAGCTTGAGAGGGTTTGGTATGGTTCTTTTGGAATAGAGCCAGGCTAGCTCCGATTTCAGTCTTTATTCTAAGCTAGACTGAATTCAAATAAGTGTATCTCTCAAAATGTAAATGAAATACCATCACTGCCAATGGTTTCAGGATTTATTTTTGTAATTGGCAGTAGGTATCACTAAGAAACAAAAGAATGTGTATGCAAAGGAAGGAGAGAAGAACACTGCTAGCTAGCTTACACTAATAATCGGCTTTTAAAGTGTATGGTAAAGGAAATGCTACAGGCTTGCAGGCTCTAAAGATTCCACCTTTGACCAGAGATGGCAAAAGTACACACACCCTTTACTACAGTAGAAGTACAGATACTCGTGTTTAAGAATACTCAAAGATTGAAGTACTGACCTAACTTCTTTACTCAAGTAAAATATTAAGAAATATGGGCTTTGAAATGTAACTAAAAAGTAGCCATATCTCCCACCTGTTTTATAGAGTCAAGCTGGTAACTGGACCACACTTTATATTATTAGAACATTAAAGAACTTATATTTCAAACGGTAATACTGTCATTGTCATCATCATACATACACCGGTCGTGTTTTCTGTATGACATTAGGTTGAAAAAGGCGCGCAATGATTCTAATAATAATAACCACGCCACCAAATGCAGATCAAAACTAAAGAAGAGCCTGTTTTGAAAATAGTGGAGTAAAGTAGGGATACCAGACAAATGTACTCAAGTATAGGAACAAAGTATTTGTCCTTCACTTCTTCCCACCTCGGTCTTTAACCGGACTTTCTGTGATCTTAAAGCACGACGGTCAGGTAGCTACAGCAGGTCAGAGCTACAGGGTTCAGACACTGGAGCAGTGTGCCCAACATACACTGCCTTCATTTGAGCCACGTAGCGTTGGAGGCCAGCCCACAGGGGCTTCCTTCCTGTAAAGGCCTTGGTTTTCTGCTTTCAGTAACAAGTACTTCCCTTTTCATGTTTTCATGATCACTGTGGATTTGCATTGGCGTCCTCTAACCCCATCGTTTGAATGTAGCAGTTACATACAAAGTGAAAATAGGTCAAACAGGTCAATTTAAATGTTTTAACTGATCATTTCTAAGTGAATAAGTATCTCTTCTTTTACAGTTAAAGAGTCACCCCCAACAAGTGCACATTTAGGTCTAAGAAAAAAGGGTTTATTTCGGGGAAAAAACATGTATTGTTTGATTCCAGTGTAGTTATAAGGACTTTATTTAAAATAACATGTTCCTGTTTGATTGAAAATAAATCCCTCCTTATCTGTTTATTCATCAAAGTAAATGTAGTTGATGCCTTCCCTTGTTCCCACATCTTTTGCTTATTTCAACATGTGTCATGTAAATGCTCATCTCGGACGTCATGTAATCAATATGATCACTTTGTTATCTCTGTGTTCAAACGGTGAAACAGGCCATCAGAGTATTAAGAAGGAAACTAACTCTGTCATTTGAATGTAGAAATATCAAAGACACCATTGCTACTCCCCAAACAAGCTTTATAACTTAGTTGTGTTTTATATTTTCTAAATCCAGCAGAACCCCTGGAGCCTTTGACCCCCCAGGAGCAGCCTCAACAACCCCCCAGTCTGTCTCCTGGCTCTGATGAGGGTGAAGCCCCCCCGCCCCAGGAGGAGGAGCAGGAGGAGGAAGAGGAGGAGGGGGAGGAGCAGGACGGCCCCGGGCCCTCGGCCCAGACTCTGGAGCGCTACCTGAACGACTCGCTGCACGCCTGGTTCCGCCAGGAGTTCCTGATGGAGTACGAGGCGGAGGCAGGCCGGCTGCTCTGCATGGTGTGTGGGGGGGAGCTGCCCTCGCTACACCTGGACCACATCAAGAGCCACGTGCTGGACACACACCCACACTCCCTGGTGTTCAGCTCCGAGGAGAAGCACTGCATCCTGCAGGCCTGGGCCCAGGCTCACGGTAAGACCACAGTCTCTGACCTATCACAACCTCTGGATTGTCCATCCTGTCATTCAGTCTTATCTGAAATGTGCTGACGTCACACACACAATCAAAGAGTCCATCAACCCTTTTTATCACTACGTATTGGGATCAGTGTTGCCCTGGTAACAGGGTGAGCCCCGTCACCCTCTTGAATCTTCCAACACGGCCCCCACCCGACCAAAGTCCATGTCTGTTGATTTGAGGAGTTACTCATTGTGCTGCATTAGCAACAATTTAACCATAAAGACTATTTCAGCAACAGTTCCCTCAGACCCCCCCGGCACATTTGGGCTTTTATCAGAGTAACAAAGCAGTGTTCATCCTCACCATGGAGGAACTGGACAGGCACTATATGTCTATACCCATGTGACACATGTTCCATTTATTTCTTTAAGAGCATTTTTTGTGAATAAAGCGCAAGAGTCAATTTGATTTATATTTTTAGTTGTGTGGTTTAAATTGATTTTAATTTCAAATATTTGAATATATCTCACAATCCAAATGTCTTAATATTTGTTATTATAATATATTATCATTATATAAGTAGCATAAGAATGTCCTATTCTTTTAATTGTATTATTAGTTTATTTAACCCTGACAGTGCACATTAATAAACATGAACATTAATAAGGATTTATTTTCCATTTAAAAATGAACATTTAAGAAACAATGTATTGCACACATGTTGGGATATATTGTCCTACCAACAGTAGTTACTGTGAAAAGTAACTCATCTTTGTATGTCTTCTAATGTTCATGTGTTGTGTGATTCTCTGTCCCATCACAGAAGAGTCAGAAACCTCAATCAAATCAGAGCCGGACACCAAAGAGGGGGGGGTGGAGCTGTTTGCTCAGGAGGTGGGGGCCCTGCAGCTCCACACGGACCTGTACCCCGAAGGCGACGGCACTTTAACTCAGGACACTTGTCTCATCGGTGAGGACGGGGGGGTTGGAGCTCCACAGCAGGGACCCCCGCCCCCCCGGCAGCCCAGGAAGAGGCGGCTGCGCATGGGGGACCCGTGGCGGCTCCGCCTGGACTACCTGGTGGCCTACGGGCCCCCGGGCCGGGGCACCTACTGCATGGTGTGCTCTCAGGTGCTGCAGGAGATCAAGGTGAGCAGCTTTCGCAGACACATCCAGGAGTGTCACCCCGAGACCACCACCCTGAGCCGGGGGGACAGGGAGGCCATGGCCGCCGCCTGGACCAAAGACTACCCCAGCGAGGGCTCGCACATTCAGAACGGTGTGTAGTATGTATTTATTTGATCATGAATATTCCCCTTGAGATTCAGAATGTGTTTAAGTTGGGTACATCGATACTTTAGTTATCCAAGTTGGGAAATGGTTTTGTCACAGCAGCATTTGGACAGTCAATGTACAAGAATTGCAACATTTCTTAAAAATAGAAATAAAATAAACATCAAAAGCAATATATACATATTCACATTGAAAAGACATATATTCAGAAGAGAATCTACACACTGTAAAATATGCAGAATACATTCTTATTCTCTTAATAGACCAAGGAGAGCAGTATAACCTTTAGAGCCTTGGAAGGCGCCTATATCAAATAAATGAATTATTATTATTATTATTATTATTATTATTATAACAAACAATACAAAATATATAATAATTATTATTATTTACTATAAACAATAGCAGCAAGAAATTAAATGTTAAACTATTAAATGATACAAATGAATATATAGCTCCAACAAATATGATACTATAATGATACAATTAGAGCTAGAGATGTTCATGATGCTGAATTCACCGTGTGAGTTGGCAGACTAAAGTATGGTGGTTTCATTTTTTTGTTTACCTACAAATTCCTCGTACATGTAAACCTACCTGGTAATAAACCTGTTTCTTATTCTGAGCCAGAGGTGGGAGAAGTACTCAGATCTTGTACTTGAGTAAAAGTAGAAGTACATGAAAGTGTTCTCAAAGCTGGTAAAGGTGCAGCTAGTTTGAATGACTTTGTATACTGCAGGGTAGCTTGTGAATTTACTCCAGGTGGAACTAAAGTCTGATTTAACACTTGATTATATTTCACATCATTCATCCACATCTGTAAAGTAACTAAAGGTATTACATACATGTAGTGGGGTAGAAGTACACCATGTACCTCTGAACTGTAGTGGAGTAGAAGTACAAAGTAGCAAAGAATGGAAATACTCAAGTAAAGTACAAGTACCTCAAAATTGTACTTGAGTACAGTACTTGAGTAAATGTACTTAGTTACTTTACACCACTGGCTACAGTGTTACCTCTCTCTGTTTCATCAGAAACCCCCCCGAGTGAAGCTGAGGTCCTGAACCCCCCGGGAGAGACGGACGAGGACAGCCCCCCCGATGTCAGGACGCACGGCAAAGTGATAAAGAAGGAGGAGGGCGTGAGCGCAGCCAAGAGTAAACCCAGGGAGGAGGGCGCCGCGGGCCCCCCCCCCCGTCACAGCCACTACCCCGGCAAGGACCAGCGCAGGAACTACCAGGTGCGCTGGAGGCGGGACTTTCTGATGGACTACGACTGCCGGAGACACGGCCTCACCTGCATGGTGTGCGGCGCCACGCTGGCCACGCTGAAGGTCAGCACCATCAAGAGGCACGTGCAGCAGGTGCACCCCCACTCCCTGTGCTACAGCGCCCAGGAGAGGCAGCAGGCCCTGCTCAGCTACAGCCAGACGGCCCCCAGCTTCACACACTCAGAGGACTGCTGCTCCCCCCAGGACCACGGCCCCACCCAGCCGGCCCCCACCCAGCCGGCCCCCGCCACAGCCCCCGCCACAGCACACTCTGGCACTTAGAAAGGGCCTCCGTCCGTCGCTACTCGCGTGGCCCCTGGTCAGAAACAGCCCTCCCTCTTCCTTTTAACCCTGCTGTCTTGTTCGTTCCCTTACTTTGGTGTTCCTGGTCAAATGGGACCTGTCTGCTTTAACTGCACTTAATTAACACAAAAACTTACCACCAAATGTAATTTAGCACCCTATTAATCTTTAAACAATGTCTCAGACAGGTTTACATGAATAACTGCAGTGAGTATACAAAGAATAGAGAGTGAAAATGTATTCCAAAATCAACGTGGTTGTTGATTTGTGGAGTGTACTCTCTGATGGATGAACATCATCTAGGGTTATCCATTCATTTCCTATGGGGCTCACTTTTGAACAGGAACATCAACGTTGACTAAACCACTCAAAACTCAATGAAAGTGGTGATCAGAATTGATTGATGAACGTAGTAGAATGGTCAGATTTGACCCAAACACACAGGGGGGTTAAAGGGAAATGTATTTTTTGTCGAGTAAAGCGTTTTGGAAAATGGACTAAATCTGAGAATAACACTAAGGTTGACAAATACTGCAATTTTCCCTTTTCCCCCCTTCTTTCAAAATGTTGGTAAGCTTTGACTAAAGGGGCAGGTAGGAAATGTCACAACCTTAAAATATCACAACCTTAATGTCATGGCCTAAAAAAAGAAAGTCCGGTTCAGCTCTGTGTGAACCTTTTTAGATTTAGTAATACATTATAATACAAATGATGTAATATTTATGGTAACAAAAACCCTTTCTCACGCCAGAAGCTAGATGAACCCTCTAAATGTGTGCCCAAAGTGATGGTAACCCTTTCAAAAGGAGCTGGATAATTATCCCAGCAGAGGAAAGAACAGCGAGGGGAAACCAAGATTGAACATGACCCTCACTCACCTGCCTAGTGATGTAGGAGAGCCCAGAGTCAAATAAGGTCAATCATTTGTACTCAAATAACCTGACAGATTACACATGGCATCTGATTAAGACAACCGTTGACCTCCGCTACTAGTACAAATCACATGAAATCTGAAGGGCTGCGGTCAAATAGACCAAAATAAATGTTTTTTTCTTGGCCTGATGGCATTTACCATCAAGCTCAAGAAGAAATGTGAAAGAGAATTCATAAGAACTTAATACATGAGGCAAAGACAGAGCGGTGTTCAGAGGCACAAGGCACTGACATTAGCCTAGGTGCTAATGTGACAGCGGCATGTTGGTTAGCATTTAGAGGATTCAAACCGCTCTTATCATGGCTTCCACTCAGATACATCTGGGGAAATTCAATTTGGAACCTTCCTAAGCAAAAAGGATTTAACCGCGGCCCAGCCTTTGTGACGTGCCAATTTTTGGCGCTATTGTGGCCGGCTAGCGTTAGCATGTTCATGATTAGCCATCATGCTAGCAGCTAACTCACCACAGTTTATCGCCCACTCGCCCCGCAATAAGTCACTTTTCAACCAATCCATTATCTGCTGGGTGATTTAGTGCTAAATGAACTGTGGTGAGTTTCAACACCAACAGCCAAGTTCCTTTTCATTTCCCACTAATAGGAAAAAGGGGCTTAAGGAATTCAAACTCCTGTTAGTATTTAATATTAATAGTTCATATTTTCTTCCTACAAATTGGCTTATTTGAAGTCATGGTACATGCTTACTACCTAATATAATGTTCCAGGGCTTGTTTCTGGTCAGGGCCTGAGTCTCAGGAAGTTGAAAAGTCTTCGGTGAGGCCGAGGTGAGTTGGTTTTATGATGATGTGTCTGAAGACAACACAGCACTTTGTCCCCAAAAATGTACTTAACCCCAGCTGTCCTGTCCAGCTGAATGAGACTCTGATGTTATTGCTGAAGACAATGAATGCCAGCGTGCAGTCGCTCTATTTAATTCCTTGTTTACAGTGGAGGAGACCCTGTCTCTCATCGTTATAATGAGATATGTTATCTCTCCGTCAGTCACCGGCCTGCATCTTACCATCATCTAGCTAAAACTGCACACAAAAAGGATATGTAAATATATGAAAAAATTGAATTATTTTTCCTTTATACAAGCACTTTTATGCACCCTGGTTTCTACAAAGCGTGTTGGTTATTATGTCCAGTTTTTCTACTTCAATCATAATTCAACAAAGACTTTGTCCTCTGACGGCTGGAGAGGGTTTCTTGGACTTTAACTTTGGTACTGCTTTATTTTACCTTTCACTGTACAACATGTATGCAACAGACGATGTGGAGGAATCATTTCAGCTGTCAAAGAAAGAAAAGTCATAAAATGTCACGTCTTCACCTGGAAAATGTAACTCAGGGATTCTGTTTTCATCAACAACCATTTCATCCGTTATCTTTTAGAGGCGTGATACGTGTCAGCTTTGGTTGTCTAGGTGATGCTATGAAGACAGCAGAGTAGTAGGGCTACTGTTAAAGCAAACCAGGAAGTGGAATTCTAATATATTTGAGAAAGTCTGAATTTAGAAAAGAAATTATATAATATAAGACATTTGTTGTATTTTGAGAAAAATATAATATTAAAAGACAAATAATATAATTAATGTAATGTGTGTAATTTCAGAAGAGAATCTGAATTTTGAGGTAAAAGTCCTGTTACAATTAAACAAAAGACTTATATCAAGCTAAACAAGTCATATTTTGAGGGAAAAGACTACATATTTGTACAGTTCCTTTTTTTCTTCAAAGTCTTCTCTTAGCAGTGCCCCTAATACTCTGGTGTACATTGACAGAATTTGCTCAGTTGAAGCTTTTGATCATGACGTGATAATGAAGGACTCTGACAGAGAGACACTGTCAGATCTCAGTCCAATGTTCCACTTTGGCTAAGAATAGCCCCCCCCCCCCCCCCCCCCCCCCCCCCCCCCCCCCCCCCCCCGTCACTCTGGAAGAGTTCTGATATAGCACTTAATTATTTAAAAAATGAAGTAACAGTGAAATGAATGATAGAACATGTGATGCATGTGTGTGTGTTTATACTGTGTGTGTGTGAGTGAGAGAGGTCCTCTTTGGCTCCTCACTTTTCTTTACTCGTCCACTCACCTTTCATTTGTACATGGCCAACGTGTGAGAAAGCATTCTCTCCTCCGTGATCTTTGAATAAATACTCAACACCACGACACTGCTGTGACCTCGTTTCTCTTTTCATTCTGTTTCTGGCTTCTTAAATCGTATCCCTGATCTGAATTCTGGACGTCTTCTAGAACATGTCAGGGTTCATTTCCTGTTGCAGTGCATCTCAATGACAACTGCTGAAAGGAAGTGTACATAAACTCAAGCTGTTGCCTAGCAATGCAATTCAGTTGAAATGGTCCATAGAGTAGCTTTAGTGTCCATATAGAGGGAATGGCATTCCTCTGCTAGAGCTTGGGTCCATTCACTTCCTGTCAGAGGTTACTGGAACAGGAAATGAAGACATTTTCAAATACTGCTATCATCACTGAAATCGGCAGATAAACGCTGACATATAAAAACTGTTGGGGAAATATTTTCCAAGGCCCATAACTTTGACCCAGTTGATCAGTTCATACTGTCCTGACTGAGCACACGCACCTGAAACCTTGGCTGCTGTGCTCTGTGTTGAGTCCTGACTCCAATTGCTTCAGAAGTTTCCCCCACAAAAACTACTGTCACAATATACTGTTTATTAAGAAAAGGTTCAATACCTGTGAAATAAAGTACACCATGCAATATAATAAAGCCGATTACCCACAGATCAGAACTGATTTTAGACACTTAGCAACTATACTAGCTAAATATTGGGATTTACAAACAAGAACAAAACTAATCCCAGTTAGAGGCAAATTAAATCAGATTTATGACCGCCCTCCAAACAATGGCTTTCTATGAGTGACCATGATTTACGTCAACTAAAATGATCCTGATAACTCTTCACCTAAACTATACTTCTGGAACAAAGTTTGCCTTGACAACAGATCTAGGAAAAACAGCTCTATGTTCATTTTAAGACAGCCAAAAGCTGACTGCTCTCCTCTGCACCCCCCCCCCCTCATCCTGAGTGTGCTGTTCATCTGCAACATAACATGCTAACATTGTAAAACTTTAAACATATTCCTTGTTTAACATTTGATAATGTTACGTAAGGCTTTAAATGTCAGACGTCATGTGACTGTTAGCAGTAATGTTTTCAGTGCGCGGCCCCGTCTAAAATTAGAAAAATAATCCTTCTTTCCACCCAAACACCATTACAGTCATCGGCCTGAAGTCAAATCTTATTTTCTTTTGCATCTATTTGGGTCAAATTCTTCCATTTTAAGTCCCTTAGTATTTATATGTAGTCTTTTTGTGCCTCTTTGTATTTATTTTGTGTCTTTTTGTAGTCATTTTGAGTCTCTTTGCAGTCATTTTTAGTCCCCTAGTATTTATTTGATGTCTCTGTTGTCATTTTGATTCTCTATGTGTTTGTTTTGAGTCTCTTAGTAGTCATTTTGTGTCTTTTTCAATTGTATTGGTTTATTTTTGGAATTGCTTTGTCTTTTTGATGTTGTTTTGTGTCTTTGTTAGTATCTTTGTAGTTTTTGTGTGTGTCTTTGTATGTGCTTTGTGCCTCTTTGTAGTCATGTTGTGACCCTTGAATGGTCGTTGAGTCTCTTTGAAGTGGTTTTTCCTCTTGTAGATTTTTGTGATCATCCATTTGAGTGACATCTGTAGGTAAAGGCCATGGGGTGGGGGGGCTGACCCTTGAGGCCCTTGCCTACTAGGCCCTTAAATGGGCATGCATTGGAAAACATGTCCTGTATGTCAAGGCCCACCAAGTTCCATTCACACAGAGAACAGATCCACCGAGCCTCGGTCCTTTGACGTGTTTTTATTCATTTCACTTTGACATCAGTACAGAGACCACAAACTTTTTTTTAAACAATTTTCTTCTTTTTATTCCTGCAACATCTTTCCCAAAGCTTCAAAAAATCGGAACCAAAGTCATAGCTAATACAAAACAAAGCTGATGTTAGTGAACAACGTCTAGAAACCAGTATAGAGTCAGAAGCAAAACAAGACTCTCCAGAGACAAAAAAAGTCAAACACACTCCTGCCACACTCGCCCATACCTGATGAAAACACGGGGACAAACAGGAAGAGGAGAAAAGCAACATGCTGTTAGGGAACAACTTTTATTCATGTTATATATTACACTCTAAAGAAATAAGCCAACTATGTGTCTTAAAGTAGTGATCTGTTAGCCTTGGTAGCGCGCTAACACAGGGAACATGGCGTCTCCTGCTCTACAGTTAAAGGTGCATACGGAAAGCTTGACCTCTCATAGCGCCGCACTTCTGGGGTCACACTGACAGGAAGCTGCTTCAACATTTAAAGGAACAGCTTAACCAAAATAGTTCAGATTTATTCAGTATCCTTGAGATTTTTGCCACCACAGTACGTTAATAGAATTTGCTGCTCACTGTGAACAGTTTTCTTGGAACTTTCAGAAGAAATAGTCCACAAAGAAAGTGCTGACTCATACTTTACTATCACACAAAAACTAGCGAATACAAGAGTAACCTTGGTTCTCTGAATTCTGGGTGACCTGCAGTGATTTATTCTTTCGTAATTTGGTTATACTGCTCCTTTAAATAAACTGAATCAAAGTAAATCTAATACAAATTCAGCAGCTTTTAGCTCTTGGATGAAAACAACAACTTAAAGCTACAATATGCAACTTCTACACGATCAAATAAATTAACAGGATGCATATTAACATCATTAGTGTCAGTCCTCAGGCCTGATCTCTTTCTGTCTGCTTCTTCAGCACCTTTACAGATGCTGCTTAGCTTAGCTTTGGGCTAGTTTACAGCACCAGGGCCGTAACCTGCCCAAGCCCAAGGGGGGGGCTAACAGCTAGCATCTCCAACAGAAACATTGCATATTTTGGCTCCAGCGCCCAGAGTCTAAATGAGAAGGCATGCACAAGAGGTCAACGGAGACATCTGTGAGGCGATCACAGTGAGAAGACGCAGAGTGGAGGGCATGCTGGGGGGGGAATGTTCCAGAGAAAACATTCAGTACACAGGCAGACACAGTAGATGTCACTGCATTGAGAGGCTGTTGGCTATTCAGTATTCAGGGGACATTTACTCCGTGCAAACCTATTTTAGGGAGTAATGAAATGGACAGCAACACGAACATACTGGTCCTTTCCTTCTATATATTCATCCCTTAAAACAATATGAAGAGCAGTAGTGCTAACATGACTATGGTTTTTACTGAGTTCAAAAACACCATTGAAACAGTCACAAGTAATAATCATATTAAACAAAAGTCAGGGTCAAGAATATGATACAGCCTATATAAGGGTGAGAATCTGTTTCCAGCTTACACTACGACATGCGCTTCATGGCAGTCAAAAGAAACAAAAACAGTGACAAACAGCTCTATAATAATCACGCCAAACCCAAACCGCGTCCTTAAATCCCAGCTACACTCTTATTTCAACACTGCACCCCATCATTTAGTTTCACAAACCCCTGCTCTCAGTGTCCGCTCAGGTCACTGCTAAGATTTCGTATGGAGGGTAAATTGTGCCAAAAAAAATTGCAGTAGTTCAATTATAAAACTTTAATAAATTGACACATTTCCAAAAGCTTTTACAAATCCAGTTTTAAATGTAAATTTCATACTTGAAAAAGGTATCAATTTGTTCAATTCATTTTAAATTTAATTAGGCGTGAAAGTTCTTATTCTTCACCAAAACATGTTTTAAACTTATCTCCCAGTCATTAAACCTCAGGAGGAAGTGATATATATTGGATCTTTTGATGAAACACTGTAAAAGTTAATATATATTTTGATGGCACACTTTGTACTCCATAGATTTTAAAACCCCAACAGCTATCTGAGAAGCTTTTTTGAGATGTAAGGGTGTGCCAACACATCGGAGGTGTCTCTTAACTTATCCAACAATCAGGAATAATTTCTCTGGAGGCCTCACAAAAACCTCCAGTTAAAAATTATGAAGCTCAATGACACTTAACATAACTCTACAATGCTGTTGTCAAGCTACAAGAGAGTCAAAAGCAGCCGTCCTATAATCAATATTAATAATAGTAATAAGATTAATACAAATTTAGAAGCGAATGTGAGACCTCGACACTGTGGCTTTAACCGGTGCGAGAAAAGAAGTTAGGACTGCTGTAAGTGAGGGAACTTTATTTGATATAAAAAGCGAGGCTAACGTGTTCCATACAGCAGAGCCTGTCTTCAGGTGTATGTACAGAAAACTGTTCAGGAAATGCATCTGATCAAGAGGGTGAACTAGACCAAATTATCACAGCTGGCTCAGTGTTCCAATCCTTTTATTTCAACCTGCTCATGGGTTAAAAAAAAAAAATTCAGTGCATTGCAGAAACGTACGAACACAAGAGCCTGTAAGGTGAATAACTCTACAACAGGCCGACCAGCTAACCCATTACCAGCCTCTAAATGAACTCATATCTATCCACATAACATCTGTAGAGCAAGAGAGCAGGATACGACTAGCCACCATTACACCCAAAATATTGGTTTATTTCATATGTTTTTTAATTTTCTTAACTTTTCTTTCTTGAATGATCCATTAACCTTTAGAGAAATGTGTGGGGTTCAAAGTACAGACATTTGCTTTTTTGTGACGTCCAGCCATCATCCTCCCCCTGCTCGCTGTACACGACAAAACCAGGTCATAGATTCAGTCTAGTTCACTCGACCCTGCCCACATTGCCCAGACGGGGGGGTCCGCCGGGCGCTACATCACTTCCTCGCTTCCTGTCTGCACAGGCACAGTTCTTTTTAATGCTTGCAAATTAAGCTGCGCAGTAGTTTTTACATTTAATATCGAGTAGCTCAGAGATATTTTCTACCTAGCAAGGTTCAGTGTAGTAGGGGGGGATGGTTGATGGAGGAGGAGTTAGACTGGGGGGGAGGTACAGGGAGGGGGGGGGGGTCTAAGATGATGTTGGTAATGAGGATGATGGTGACATGGAGGTTTCTAATTGGTGGGTTGATCATTCAGTTTTGCTGCGCTTCACCGCTCCCGGAAGCTTCTCTTGCAACCTGAGGGGGAAAGAAAAAGAGCGGGTAAAACATGTGGGAACAGGAAACCGATTATCTAGAACGGTGATTCCCAACCTCAGGATGGAAAGGCATTCTTCATAATAAGGTCTGTTACACAGCTTAAAAGGAACATATTTTAATAAATACTTTTCCTATATGTCAGGATTTTATTCATTTCTGTCCAGAAAACTAAACAAGTGTCATTTTTAGTTTGGATTTGATGAGGTAGAAAAAATAATCCTCTTAAGTATGTATGACTTTTAAAACAAAGAAACAAACAATACAGAGTCAATTGTATTTCAAGTGTACAGGTAAACCTATCTCTGATTCAATAATCACAGGCTATAATCACTTCCAAATCTTCTCTAAACATCCTGAACTTACTGTGTTCTAGATTTGGGTTGATTATACACCTGTTTTAATTCTTGTTATGCACTGAAATATCCACAACACGTCATTCAATGTAGTCGGAGGTCTGGAGTTTACTCAATGGAGGAAGGTTAAAGTGTTGGGAACCACTGATCTAAAACACACACTCATTACTGATGCTTAAATTCACTTACTTGGCCATCGTGGTGTTGACTTGAGTGCGGACCAGGTCGATGTACTGATCAATCTGGGTCTGAGGGCAGAACACATGAGAGGGAAGGTGAGCATCATTCTGGGGAAATAATCATCATTTCCATTGCATCCATCGGTCCTGTGAATACATTGGGATCCCCAAGCAAAGGCAATAGAGTGGCTGAATGTGAAACCTACTGACCAGCTCTGAATCAGCTGAGCCTGAGTGAGGCGGTGCGCTCAGGAGCCACAGCTAATGCTATCATCAGATTTCTGGGGTCATTGCCCCCTTTAATGTACATGAAATCCAAACATGTGCACTCCAGCTTCTTTTGAGGTTAATACTTGGATAACAATCTGAGAGGTGGGAGAAGTACTCAGATCTTGTACTTGAGTAAAAGTATAAGTACCAGAGTGTGGGAATACTCTGTTACAACTACAAGTCCTGCAATCCAAATGTTACTCAAGTAAAAGTAGTCATTGTGCAGATTGGTCCATTTCAGAATAATATATATGATATGTTTTATAATGATTGATCATGAAAGTGTTCTCAAAGCTGGTAAAGGTGCAGCTAGTTTGAATGACTTTGTATACTGCAGGGTAGCTTGTGAATTTATTCCAGGTGAAACTAAAGTCTGATTTAACACTTGATTATATTTCACATCATTCATCCACATCTGTGAAGTAACTGAAGCTATTAGTGGAGTAAAAGTACACCATGTACCTCTGAACTGTAGTGGAGTAGAAGTACAAAGGAGCAAAGAATGGAAACACTCAAGTAAAGTACAAGTCTCTCAAAATTGTACTTAAGTAGAGTACTTGAGTAAATGTACTTAGTTACTTTACACCACTGATAACAACCGAGTACGTTAAGCTAGAAACAATCATAAGTACATCAGTCTCAGCACGGACTCAGTGCCAACATTCACTGCCGCTACGAGAGATTGTTGCCAGAAAGAGGCAAACAACAACAACAGTTCCCATTTGGCATGATGTTTTTTGACACGATGCTGACGGCCCCCCCCCCCCTATCTGAGCCAGCAGTGGAATGACTTCATATTGTCAGCAGTTGGACTCTGAACAGTGTGTGAGCAGTGTGTGATGCAGACTGCAGTCATCCAGTGAGCTCACTGCTGGCTGACAGCCGAACTCATTCTCTCTGTCATCCTCACTGAGCGGGGGGGCAGAGGGTCGCACTCTCACCTTGTTCTTCTCGTAGACGGGAGGCACAGCGAAGAGGAGGATGTCAGCTGGAGAACACACAGAGAGAGACATGTTAGGGACAACCACACACTGAAACACATGTCCCACACATCAGGGTGCTTGGAGTGATGCAGCACCCTATTTACCCAGCTGACATTCAGCCTGTGGAGGGTTAACCCAGCTGGCGTCACTCACAGCTCTGGAAGTCAACACTTGGTTTCATTGTGGTTTGTGAAAACAACACAAATGTTGTTTTCAGTTGTTCTGTTATTAGGGACACTAAAACATAATAGTATGTAACAGTATGTATAGTAACAGTATTAGTGCATACAAAAATTAAAGCCACATTTATAATCCCTTGTTTTACATAAAGTAGGCATTTACTATCATTTGTCATTGGATAGGTTCAAATAAATATATGTTAACCCATACCCTTTTTATGTTTGAAGAACAAAAGATTTACTGTCACGCGTCTGAAACAAAACCTCAGCCTTTGTTAAATAATAATAAAGACACACCTTATATTAGTATTGACATATCCATTTTTAACATAGTATGCAGTATACTTCATTTTGTTGTCTTAGTACCTGTACTGTAATGACATTAAAGTCTAATCTAATCATAATCCTTTCTGTAAATCTCAATGACTTGTTTTGAAGGACTAATAAAGAAAGTCTTTAAAAACGGTAAAGTAAAAATCTCCGTTATGATTAGCTCCACTTAAAGAGTCACAGCAGAGCGTGAGCTCCTGTCGCACCGCAGCAGAGCAACCATTAGTGAGGCCTTCATCATGGGCCAGTAGAGTGAGGCGAGCCTTATACCACAGCCTCTGAGCATCCCTTGGACCACCACACCATGAGCATGGAGGCCTCAGTAAAACACCGGAGGCCATTATGGTCTCACAGACCCCCGAGGGCCATTATGCTCACATGGAGACCTCCGTCTGCCAAAATACATATATATTGCTCTTCTTTGATGTGTTGTTATGTATGCATCTGTTGGCTCACTTGAATCTGTAGTCACTAGGAAAGCCTGTATGTCTGTATGCAAGTCTGAACAATGGGTAGTTATAGTTCCTACCTTGACCCCAATGCAACATTTCATGACTCCATGAATAAAGTGAACCACACGAAGGTCAAAAAGTGGAACAAAGGTGGGAAACAAGCTGAGAAATGATCAACTTAGCTATATATTGAAATTGAAATTCAATAAATCTCGAAACCGGCGTTAAACTTAAATGTGTGGAAATGGTCGTCTATAGAGAAATGTCAACAGTTGTTCAATTAGTATTTATAGATCTTATTTGGGCAATATCTAAGACGTGTGGTATCATTCAAAACAGTAAATATCACACATGTGAACGGGGCATGCCTCTAAGTGCTTACCGAGGATGAGGATGGTGATTCCGTTGAAGACGGCTCCAACATAGGTGAACAGCCACATGACCACAGCCAGCTGGGGGGGGGGGGGAAGAGAGGCGCACAGGATTAACACATGTGAAGCATTTATTTGACAAAGTCCAGCACTTCACACGCACCTCGGTCATCAGAGTTTATGGGATACCTGAGGACATTATATTGTTCACTGTAAAATCATTAATGAATTGTGGCAAACACAAACTAATAAAGGGAAGAAAAAACATTGGTGGTGATGGTGGAAGTACTAAAGTTTAATATATGAATATAGAATTTGTGTGTTATTAATGATCATGACATTGGGGTTCAGGGTTTTCCAGACTGATCAAATTGCTCCAGGCTTCTGATGTAATACTGTTGTGAAGCTCAGGAACATATCACAGTAGGATGTGGGCTAAATGTTATTGCTGCTCTGCTGATGGGGACATTGACAGCAGCTCTGCTCTGATGACCTGTTGCTATAATCCAACAATAAAGCTTCCTCTGTCCAAGTACAGCACAAGTGAGACCTTTTTTTCTCACACAATGAAAAGCACCGAGGATTAAACCTTGCCAAAGAGCTCATGCATCACTACAAAAGCAGCCTTTCAGCAGCCTGATGAACAGGACTGTGAGGGTGTGGACCGACTGAGCTCGACTGGCAGCTGCCTGTTTCTCCTGTTAGATTTGTTGCACCTATCGGGAGGGGCAACTTGGTAGTACATATTTGAGTGACACCCTGCACCCTTAATCATCCAGGAGAAGACAAAACTCCTGGCCAGGAAAGGACAAGTTTATCATTTCTCAAGTCAACCTATGGCAGGTTTTTTTCAACATACTGAACATGTTAACCAACTTAAATGAAGACTAAAATGTTTTAATAGAGCCCTAGTCTGATCATTTCCAGCTTCATATCAGTGTGTAGTGTCTCTACATGTCTCCATGCTTTAATGTTCAAAAAGCTCTTTATTTTTCTCATACTGCCTGTGCACCTCTTTTCACCCTCTGTCTGAAACCAGAGCCCAGTCTGCTCTGATTGGTTAGCTGGCCGCCTCTGTTGTGATTGGTTAACTTCTTATAGATGTCCCGCCCCTTAGCCTATCAAGTACAATGTGTTGGAGCGCTAGCCAATAGAAGCGTGAGTGTTACATGGTGATGTCATTATATCACAGAAGTAAACAAGTAGTCCAATAGAGGGAACACTTTGAAGACCATTTAAATGCACAAAAACCTACATGACAGCCTACAGGAAAACCCCAAAAAGCATAATAGGGCCCCTTTAATAATTTAGCAGCATGACCTTTTTGTCTATCAAACTGAGGATTCTAATTGCAATGACATAACATCTCTGATAACAAATGTTTTCCCACTTTTAGAGGCATATTTATAGATCACAGTGAAACAGATGCCTCTCATGGCGGCTGGATAAACGATGTGACCCTTTTAAGTTGTAGTGTTGCAAGCCATCTGTTTTCTCTACAGATGTATCAATCTAAATAAGCATAGCTAACTGGGTTTATTTGAAAGATATAGATCAGATTATGCCTATGAGTGGACTGATGACAGTACCAATTGGAGCTATAAAAAGGCTGTTCCCTGGAGAGGAGTCTTCATGGGACAGAGTGGGGTTTGATCCCATTAAAGACCTAATGATGAAAACAAAATGATGACAGTGGATAAAAGCTGAGGGTCAGAGCTGCTCACCTTTAGGGAGTCCACTAGGTCCTCGACCAGGAAGAGGCGGCTCATCTGCTTCAGGGCTCGGTTGATGTAGGACAGACTGGCGTCCACGTGCTTGCGGAAGGTCTCAGGGGGGATGCTGACATCCTTATCTATCAGTGTTCTGCAGAGAGGGAAGAGGAGGGGACGGTGAGCCGAAATGAGGCTAAGTATCCGGGCGGAAAGTGCTGCAGGGAAACATAACTAGCCCGTGGTGGAAAGCTTTGAGGAGGAAACTAATAGGGATTTCTGTTTTTTAAGTGGCATAAACAAAAGCCTTATAGGGCTTTTGATCAAGACCAATGGCTTAATGATTACTTGGTTAAATCGAGACATTTCTTACTCCCTCAACTCATTTTCCAGTCCATACTGTTTAGAAGTCAGGCATTACATTTTGAAACTGGAGAGGCTGAAGACATGTTTCAAAACATGAGAATTACACACATGTTTCACTGTTGGGTACGTATCAGCTGATCTGCAGATGTGTTGGTCTTTATTTCAAATCTGCTTCTTTTACAGAAGAATTTAATACACCCTGTTGTACAAGTAGAGCATATTATAAACACATATTTAGTAAAAGACCCGTTTTCTGTCCTGCTCAAGTAAACCGCAGTGGATATTGTAAATTCATTTAAAAAATAAAATTGATCTTCTTCCACCCTTTGCAGGCGCTTTTAAGTTAGCGTCAATAAAACTCTGCGCAGACGATTTGAACTGAGAACAACTCATAGGGCACAAACATTTCTGGGAGACTTTTCAATCATACATTTTGAAAAAAGCAAGGTATAAATAACTATGTGTAAACAAGATTGTAAACAGTTACATTTACCATGCGAGCCATTATAGTCCAGATAAAAACACTTCCAGCATTTGAAACAAAAATATATATTATTAGTTTGTTTTGGCCACAGCTTTTATTGGGAATGCTTTACCTGAGTTCCAGAGAATCTATGGTTAATACAACGGTTTACACTACAGAGTAAGAGAGTGCTGAATGACTTGGAGAATGCGAGCAGCAGTGGGTGAACCAAGACCAATAGTCACAGCCATCAGCCACGTCTCATTACTACAGAGGGAAATAGCCGTGTTCCAGCTGCTCCATGGCAGAACTGATCTATTTTCACACTAGTACAACATTAACAAGTTCTCCTTTACTGAATGATTTGGTTTCAAATCTAAAATGAGTTCTACGTATAGTGTCGTGACATTAAAGAGGAGTTGCGCTCTGAACATTATGATGCCTGGGCTATGGCTCCATCATAAAAGTGTTTCTATAAATAAGCCGAGGTTACATCAGGCGCTGCCATGCCTAACCTCTCACATTCTGACACTTGGTAATGTAAAGAGAAGTGTGTGGTATATTCCTTCTGATGAGACGTTGGATTCTTTCATTATACCGTAAATGTTAAGTTTGACTGTTTTCTTGTGTTGTTACATTAAGAAGGAATACAACTATTTCAAAATAAATCAATGTAAATTTAAATCACAGTTTCTATGGTGATGCCATATGAACTAGCTTTTCTAACAAAGTTTTCCAATACAAAAAAAGAAAAACTCTAATAATAGACCTAATTATCGATAGAACAGTACTTGACAGGTTTTGTAATCATCAGGTGATTGGGGTCACCCATGCTCCGAATCAGGAGCTGCATTAAAGAAACCCTCTATACTTTGATCATTTAACAATGTGCTAATTTAATGTTGGCAGTATGCAGTGTTGTAGTCAAGTCACCAATTTACGAGTCCAAGTCACTCTCGAGTCACCACTCTTCGAGTCCGAGTCCAAGTCCGAGTCACCAAGGGAGAGTCGTAGTCGAGTCCGAGTCCAAGTCCGAGTCACCCAAGGAATGTCCGAGTCGAGTCCGAGTCCGAGTCATCATTACCTGTGTTCGAGTCCGAGTCCAAGTCCGAGTCACCCAAGGAGTGTCCGAGTCAAGTCCGAGTCCGAGTCATCATTACCTGTGTTCGAGTCCGAGTCCAAGTCCGAGTCACCTAAGAAGAGTCCAAGTCAAGTCCGAGTCACAAGTCTTCATGTATTAATCTTCATGGATATATGTGTTGAAATGTAGCTGCTCCTCTACATTGCTTTTATCCTGTCATGTTATACTAATCTGTCTATTGAACTGCTGTGAAGCCAGTTTGGCTACAATTCTTGTAATAGGTGCTATACAAATATAAAGCTTATTACTAATATTATTATTATTATTATATATAAACTATGTTTAAAATGAGTTACCTTTTAGAGAAGTGATTATATTTGTATGCCAATATTTTCCTATGGTAAAGTTTTCGTTTTGCACTTTTATTTTGATAGTAATAAGATCGGGACTCTTATTTTGAAGGAACTTTTACCGGTTAAATCGGTTTACTGATAAAGATTTAGCCCCAGAAAGCACATGGCTACTTAGCATGCAAAATGACGTCATTCTGCATGTTAAGTAGCCATATGCTTTCGTGTTATCGGCTGAATCTTTATGTATTGATTAGATCACGTTACTCTGATGATAGTGTTCAAGACAGCCTATATGTCTGAACTCGATGTTTAGAGTAATGTGTTACGGAGCCTTCTCTTCAATATTGTTTCCACATAGAGCATTTTGCGCTGCTCTTTTCCAATGTGGAAGCAGAATGTGTGAAAGCATACAGCACGATGCGGGGTGTGTCTCTAGACATCTTTAGACTGGAATAGCGGGGCCCAGTACGTGAACTCGCCTCGCAGCCGGTGCACACGCCAGGATAGAGGACATCAGACTCCATAGAAAACTTGCTCGAGTCCGAGTCCGAGTCCAAGTCGGAGCGTCAATGTACAAGTCGAGTCCGAGTCATCATGGGGGGAAAAATTCACGAGTCCGAGTCCGAGTCCAAGTCAGCGTACGCGATAATTCACGAGTCCGAGTCCGAGTCCAAGTCATCGTGCGCGAGAATTCACGAGTCCAAGTCCGAGTCGCGTCAATCAGTGCGGGAGTCCGAGTCGAGTCACGAGTCCCGAAAATCGGCACTCGAGTCCGACTCGAGTCCGAGTCCAGGACTCGAGTACTCCATCTCTGGCAGTATGACTCCCAGGTAACAAAGAAGAAACGTCAAAGTAAAGTATAATTGAATTAAGAGGTTTGAGTCTCACTTGAAGGGGTGTCCGTCGCTGGACTTCTGCACGGCCTGCACCACAGACTTGTAGATGCGGAAGGTGATGGTGACGCAGAGCAGGGCCAGGAGCAGGTAGGAAGCCACGCTGATGACGCTGAAGGCTGCCAGCGACAGCAGCATCAGCAGGGACAGCCCGAACACCACGCCCGACTTCTTGGGGTCTCGCCAGTGGATCAGATCCTTCACTGCAGAGAGGAGGTCAGAGGGAGGGGTTAGTCTGATATTGGTATGCTCAGAAATGGCCTACAATAAAAGAAACAGTACAAAATGAAATCCTGTTGTCTTGTAGATGAGGTAAAAAAAGGCCCTGGCCTGTAGGTGGGAATTTGTTTTTGTTTAAGGCATTGAAGGGGAGTAAACTATCTAAAACGGTTTGCTTTATTAGGAGAAATGTATGTATCGTAGCCAGGCCTCAAGAAAAACTCTGGCCCAATAAAACATGAATATGCACCGTAAAACTTATTTGGCAGTGGAGGGTAACTGAGTAAGTGCTCCCTTCATGTTTGTATGCATTTCCTGTGAGAAGTCGTGCATGCAGAAGGGGTAGCCTCTACACAAGGTGGTTACATAATGCTGGAATGGGTTGGCACTCTCAGCCACGCCTTCCCTCTGCGTGTGGAAAAAAAAGGAGAGAAAAAAAAAGAAGAGTGCATTTAAAAAAGCCTTTTGTAAGTGGGGGGAGAAACCACGTGGCTGATGCCTCAGGGACAGTTCAGGCTCCAGTGCTCCAGCTAGTTTAATGGGAACACACGTTAAGCAGAACCTTCACACACACATTACAGACAACTGACACGGCCACATCTCACTGTCAGGACACCAAATCCAAGTACAGTCAGAAATGTATTAAATGTAAATGTTGGGGTTTTTATTGTTATCCAAAAAAGTGTTTTTGGAGAGCTTAGATCACATATTTGTAGGTTAGGCCTCAACAGGCTGAGTGACCAGAGGGAATTCTAATTCCTTCAGATGTCCATGATCCCGACTTTGGGCTGGGATTTTAAAGCAGGTAGAAGTTAAAGTTGGTACTGTCTCACAGAAAATACATGTTTCAAAAATACCATTCTAATGTCGGTATAATGGTGCTGCAGCTGTCTGCAAATCATATTCCCAGAAAAAGTTAAGTCTAAAAAAAAGATTGTGGGCTGCTTAAATGTTGCTCTGATGCATGTCAATGCTGAACAAGTGCAGACTTGCCTAATCTGACCTTAAATGGTAGAGGCCTGGACAGCCCAAAATAGAAAAGCTATGAAATAAAATAAACGACTCCAGAAGAGAGACATGGTTTGCAGTCAGTCGATAATACAAATACTAGTCTTGAAAAAACTGGTAACTCATTGTCTATTTAATGACAGATCTAGCTTGGAGTGCTATATCAAGACTGGCCGGAGTTAGCAAGTTGCCGGCTCCTGTGTAATGATCAGATACTATAATCTAACTAGTACTGCGAGTAGTCACTACATCTTCTTTCAACACCACCAATTTTGTGATTATGACCAAATTAATTTTGTTTCTTCACTTTTTGTAGTGTGACCGTGATAGATAGATTCTTTGTTTGATCATTAATCCAGCTGAGCCCACTCTTTTGACACACTACTATATATGACGACAACCAACCCAAAACAGAATGATGACACAGTTAAATGGGCTGTGATACCACTTATGTCTTCTTTTTTTTGTATTAATAAATGTTCAACTGATCATATAAAGTTCCCCCTTAAACTAAATGGTTCATCTGAAGGGGTTTTAAACCAATACATTTCAGGTATTGTATATAAAGATGTCTGAATCAGATGTTTCTTTTGCATGACATTTAAAACAACCACATGGCATGTTGGACTCTTATAAAATGAAAAAAGGCAACAATGCTCAGCATATGAAGAGTTAAACCCGTTTACAAGGATCTGAGGGAAAGCAGCAGCACTGCTGTGCGGCTCACACAGGAACAGAGACAGCTCTATTGTTCCTCATTGTGTCTGTTGAGCCTGCAATGAGACTGCGTTTAAACCTACTCCATTACAACAGAAATGTGCTCTATCAAGTCTGCAGGTTGACAACATTCGGGGAAACAGATTGTAAAAGAAATGTAACTGCACGTTGATCAAGTGGGAAACAATGCTGACTTCCCTGAAGATTTGATCGAACAGCAACAATGAGTGGGGCTTTCTCACCCTGCACTGCAGGGGGTTGCGTGTTCTCCCAGCATGCTTTGCTGCTGGCACCCACAGGGAGGCAGCCGGAGCTCGATGGCCCTCATTATCTCCCTCTCTCCCTGTCTCCACGTCTGTCGCCCTGGCTCTACTTTGCTGAGTCCCAGTGGCTGCCGAGGTGCAGTGGCCTGCTTTCACTGTGCTGCTCTTAAAGCTGCACACACACCTTACCACTAACCTGAGTGGAAACAGGCTGGACCAACCCAAAAAACGTTTACTGGCATTACAGGTGACGGTTAAAACATATAAAAGTATCAAAAGGTCTCTACAAAGTCTTGATCTTAGCGGCTGATAGCATCGCCTCTAAGGTAGCAAGCCACCTGGGTTCATTTAGTGGTAATGTTAGGGCAAACATAAAAAACCTTGGTGTAACTTTCGATCAGTCTCTCCTAGACAAACACATAAAACTCCTGACCCGTACTTGTTTTTTCCATCTCAGGAACATTGCCAAGCTCAGGGGGGTTCTATCCAACGCAGAACTGGAGATGGCTATCCATGCCTCTATTTCATCCCGGCTTGATTACTGCAATGCTCTTTTTTCCTGCCTCAACAAAACATCAATAAACCGGTTACAACAGGTCCAAAATGCTGCAGCCAGATTACTCACTCGGTCCAAAAAAAAATGCCACATCACTCCGATTCTTTCTGCCCTGCCCTGGCTCCCTGTCCATCTCAGAACCCAATTCAAAGTATTGGTCTTCACATATAGAGCTGTCCATGGCCAAGCCCCCGCCTACATCAATGACCTGATCCACCCTCACAGCACAACCCGGGCCCTGAGGTCCTCTGAGCAAGGCCTCCTAAGGGTGCCCCGAACCAGGCTAAAGACTAAGGGGGACCGTGCCTTTCAGGCGGTGGCCCCAAAGCTTTGGAACAAACTCCCCCTGAAACTAAGACCCTCTGTCTCAATAGAGATTCTTAAAGGGCAGTTAAAGACCCACCTTTTCCGACAGGCCTTTGGGGCGCCGGAGGAGGTGAGATAGTAGCTGTCTTTCATTGGTGTTTTATCCTATGTTTTATCCTATGTGTTACCTGCTGTTTTATGCCTTTTATTCTACATGTTATAGTTGTACTTTGAATTGTGTCCTGTACTGTACTGTAAAGCACTTTGTACATCCGTGTTGAGAAGGGTGCTATATGAATAAAGTTTGACTTACTTACAAACACATTTAGGAATTATTTGTATGGGTATGCAAACCATACTGGTTGTCATTTTAAAAGAACTGCAGTATGCTTTGCTTACGCAGGTAATCACACTGCATCTCTTGAGACCATTGGCACACTTTTACCTAAAGGACACTGGATGTTCTGCAAAAAATATTGTAATCCATTGTGTACACAGCTAAGGTTTTATGTGACTGGATAAAACAACACAGCCATCTAAATCTAAACCATCTTCTATTCTGTGGGTGCAGTAGTAGATAACTGGGCAAATGATATTGTATATACCTAATCCTATCAGTGGACATTCAGAACTAATATACCCTATAAACCTGTAGACATGTCACGTTGACCAAATATTCTCTAAGTACCTGCCTAGTAAAATTAAGTTGATGAAAGCAGGGGATCACAATTCATTCAATTTTTTATTACGGTTTGGTCTCCACCGCCTCCTGAGATAATACCAGTCTCTTAAACTGCCAAACTCTCTAGAAGCTAGTTGCTAACTGCGTCTGCCACAGTACAGTCAAGTCATCTTAGATTTTTTACTGAGAATAAATGAATGAGAATGAAAGTTTTGGGCTGGTAAAACCAAAACAAGTGATGGCAAGCCATGCTAGAACATAACTGTTCTAATGGCTTCTGCGGCAATACGATTATTTTAAGTAACAGGCAATTAAGCCTGTTCAAAACTTGCTCCATTTCTAAATGTGACCCCAATTCATTTCCCGACTGACGTTATCACTTCTGACTAAAAACAAGATAATAACCCTACATGATCATGTCAGAGAGCTTAGTGTGGAATCAAATAACAAAGTTTGAGTCAAGTATTTACATGTGCCTTTCCTCCATTCTACAAATCTTCACACTGAGGATTAACACAAATGTGACCACCAATGGAATGCTTGCTTTAAACTAATCTTGGAGGCCCTGACAACAAGTCTGGTATTAAAAGTAGCCCAAAAACAAATGAAGAGAATTGCCTTTTGCTACCACTGTGGGGAGTTCACCGAAAGATGGCTGAGACACTTTGTAAAAATGTTGTTATTTTGCCACAAAGCTTGTATGGCAATGCAGAAAATGTCTAGCATATCTTCATGACAACAGGCACACCTACCTAAACAAACTCACCCTGCCTAATAAGACAAGTTGTGGAGCAGCACTGCAGAGAAACACTAAAATAGCTCATGGCTGGAGGGGGAGGATTCACCAACACAGGCTTCTCTACAGAACATGATACAGAACAGTGCGTCTTTTTCAACACCAAGTCATTAATACCACAATTAGAGAATCTGTACATTATGTGCACTGCTGAAAATCTACAAAAAGCAATGCACAGACTTAAAATGAGCTGAACTGTTATGGCCCTTCTGCACAGTGTCCTCTTAGTTTCTGGTTGCTAGAGCACCAGCACTTTGTTCTCTAGTGTGCCAACTCTAGGTTAAGATATTCAACACATGTAGACACCCTACTGAATGTGTTAGGATTACTGTCTGCATACCAGCCTCTGAGCATATGTGTGTGGAATTAAGATCATGTTTGCAGAGAAGGGGGTTACTGCATAAGTGGCTGCTGTTGCTCTCGAAAATAACCCACCAATGCTTTGACCTTGGTTTGGTGACTGGTCAACTTTTAACAAAGTAAGAACCATCACAGTAATCTGTGATACATGGTGATAGGTTGGTTAAATCTCAGACATCGTTTTTGAGAAAAAGGGTGGCTGGATTGAAGAGAGGAGGATTGGACACGAGAGGACAAAAATGCCTTACATGGACCTTTTAACCCAAGATGGCATTATGCTTAACAACCAAGTAAGAATTATGCACCACTTTTATTTGAGATCATTTTTCATAACTGGTTTTTTTGTACCATGTCTTTTTCATCCTGTCATAGTGTTCACCAAGTGTGCTTTGGTAAGTCGCATTAGGACAGAAACCCGACACTGGGAATTGACTGTACCCCGTGACGTTCAAGGTTCTTGCAAGCCAACACCAGGGCACCATATTTAAACCTCACCGACTCTCTGTCAATGGACCACTGCCAAGCTGTAAAGGACAAAGGGGACGAGAGGGTCAAAAGATCAGATGGAGAGGGGATCACCAGACCATGTGCAGCCTTAGTGTCCACTATATTGTGGCTTGGATACTATAATCTCCGTGACAACTGCAGTCTCTACAGTTTTAGATTAAAGTAAAATAACCCTGAATGACCTTTAAGACAAAGGGTTTTCTGTACTGTAGTTCTATAGATGCATATATATATATATATAACTTGAAAAAATATTCTTGAATATGCGACCTTACAGTAATATGATATCTAATGATTTAATACATTTCATAACTAGAGATGTCTTCTCTAAACATTGAAAAGTGTCCCTCAAAGAGAGTTGTGTCTGTATTCTATTTCGTATGATGCAATAAGACATTCTGACACGAGAACACCTTCTTCAATTACCTTACTCCATTAGGTTTACAAGCTGTCATTAAAAGCACGGCACTTGATGATTGAATGTGATCACGATTAACTGAACTAAATAAAATGCTATCGAAGCTAAACTTTGTTAAACTTTAAAGGGTTTTCGATAAAAAAAAATAGGCAACAAGTGACAAATAACCAATAAACTGCTGGAGGTTTTAATTTTGTTCCCCTTTCCTCTTACCCCCCAAAAAAGAAAAATAGATGTTATACAAATTCAATCTCTATTCTTTTACAATCTAAGCAACTACATTTCTTCGAACATTGGTTGGCAAATATAGTCAGAAGATGTTAACAGAAATACAGATATTAGTGCACATAGTATGTTTGCCGATAAGTAAAATGAATTAGAAATACAGTCCAGTACTACGAGGAGAAGACTGTGTGCTGCTCATCTTAGAATCTTCTAACCTGAACCTCTAGTGGATATTCAATGTCGTATTGAGGGGTGGTATTTAGTGACAGGAACGCTGACAGGAGACGAGTAGTTACAACTAAGCATTACTGTGCAGGCTAAATTTGACTTTGAACTGTTAAAGTGCCTTACATTTTCAATACAGAAGGAACGAAAGAGTTGTGTTGGCAATTTGAGTGTTTTTGTTGTATAAAGCATGTTCCTACATGTATACAAAATATAAAAACAACAATTCTTTTTAGAATGAGCAGGCAGTTCAAGGTGCAAGTGAGGAAAGGGGTCTTGTTGAGGGGACTGTGTGAGGTCAGCAGGCCTATCGCCCATAAGAAGAGGTGTTACCTGATAAGTGGGTTAGTATTGCTGTCACGACATGCTCAGCAAGATGATAGGCTTCAGCCACCCATTCGTCGATGGCTTCTACCTCTTTGGAATATGTGCTGTCAAACACACTGTTGCTTTGGGAACATGAAGGATTAGGAACGGCGGAAAAGGAAGACTGCTGAATAGATGCAGCATTGGGGTTAGCTTTGCCATGGTCCGGAACCTTTGACTGTAGAGACGCCACATCCTCTTCTTGACTGCTGCCCAGCTCCTTAAGAGCAGTGATAGTAAGCTGTTCTTGTTCAAGATCCATCACCATGGTCGGAGGGGACCGATTAGGACGCAAACCAGCTTTGCAGAACTTGTCCTCAGAAGGTACATTTTTGGGCGTGTCGTCCTGTTGTGCTTCATCCTGTCTTGATTTCAGGCACTCTCGCATGAACTCAACAAAGCTATCTGTAGGCTCAGAAACTGAGCTGTCTGAGTCATTGCTTTCTGGATTGCTTGTCGTTTCAGGAGCCTGTTGACCTGCTTTAGTGTCCTGCTGGAGCTTTGATCCAATCTTCTGTGCTGGGAGGCAGTTGCTATTTTCTATGTTATCTGTAACAATGTCAGTGGTCATTTTTTTATTGAAATCCTGCTCATTCATCCTGCCAAGTGTCTCACTTTGGAAAGAGGAATATGGATCTTGGGGATATTCTCTTTGACATTGCTGATCGACTAGCTTGGGGAAGGCTTCATCATCATTCACTGAAGTGAAATTATCCAGAATTGGACTGCTTGCATTCAGTGGTTCATTGTTGATTTGAGAAGGATCCGAAAGAAAGCGTTCTTTAGCACTCAACCCTTTTTCATCAATATCATCCAAGGTAGAGGATGCATCATAATCGTAATCAAATGATTGTCGGTCATATATATCATCTTGCATGAAGCTGGTTTTAGATAGTGAAGCCATTTCCATATGAGCCTCTTTTTCAGCAGTGTTGCTCTTTTCATCCATCTTGGATTGGTTGTAGGATGTTTCTATGAAAGCAACATCAGCCTTGCAAGGTTTGACCATGATATCTTGTGCTTCATCTGACCACTCGTCATTGTTGTCTGGGAAGTCCACTTCTTCTTTTGTGACTTTGAAAGGGTCTTCATCATTTTCTTTATTGGAAGTGGCCTGTGATTTTTCAGTTTGAGCTTGATTGGTTTGGGCCTCAGGTTTTGATGCAGACTCATGATGTACTGTTTCAGGAAGAGGTTTGATTATGTTGTGTTTAGGAGAGTATTCAGCATCAGAGTCCACAGGTGAGGACGGGGGAGAGTAGCCTTCCATGAATTCGGTTTCTAAGGGCCGTGTTTTGGGTGGTTCATGTGTACTATCCTCTGGCTCTGGGGTCTTTGGAGCCTCTCTAGCTTGTTCTCTTACAGCCTCATAGTCCTCATCTTCCTCCACTTCAAGCTCCATTTCCATTTCCATCTCCTCATCACTGTAATTTGGCTCGTCAGTCTCTATGACATTTATTGTTGGCACCTGCATTAGCTTCCTCTCTGACTTTGGTGGAATCTCCTTTTCATCAGTGGGAAGATTCGGGGCTGCTGCAGCAGGGCTAGGATCATTTGAAACTGCTTGAGGAGAAGATGGAGGAGGAACAGTAGCAGGAACAGAGACACCATCTTCAATGACTGTGTCGTCTGAATCTCCTGAGCTGTCGGCTTCACTTGCCTCTGGGGGCTCAAGATCTCCGGTCCACATGTTCTTCTTGTCATCCAAAACATTATTTTTAGCATCCATGCCAACTGGTGGAGAGACATGAGGAGACTGGGAGTCAAAGCCTGCAGGAGGTGCAGGTGGAACTGGGCCTGAATCAAGTTTTGATGAAGCCTGGGCACCTGATTTTTCCTGTTGATCCCACATGTAGGCTGTTGGCAAATAGCTTAGATCAAATTCAGACTCCTCAACACATGACTGCTTCTGTGCATCACTAGAATCATTCTTCAGCTTTGAAGCTTCAGCAGGAGAATCCATGAAAGCATCAGGGACTCCAGCAAAGGGAGCAGGAGCATTGGCTATAACTATGTCAGTTTCTTTCTTTGCCTTCAACGTCACAATGTCTGAAGTCAGGGTGGTTTTAGTTAGATCTACAGCAGCATAGTCTGGCACAGGAGGTAAATGAGCCTTCATCCACTCTTCTGTTTCTTCAAATTCATTCACTTGTCTTAAATCTCCAAGCACTTCAAAGGGAGATTCCGGTGACTCTTGATCAGTAGATCCTCCTCTTTTCTGGACAGTTGGCGTAGTTCTCTCAGTGAGAGACTTTGAAGTCTCAGTGGGAGACTTTGGGGTCTCAGTGGGAAATTGAGGGGTCTCAAATGGTGATTTTGGGATCCCAGTGGGAGATTTGTTGGTCTCAGTGGGAGATTTGGGGGTCTCAAATGGTGATTTTGGGGTCCCAGTGGGAGATTTGTTGGTCTCATTGGGAGATTTGGGGGTCTCAAATGGTGATTTTGGGGTCCCAGTGGGAGATTTGTTGGTCTCATTGGGAAATTGAGGAGTCTCAAATGGTGATTTTGGGGTCCCAGTAGAAGATTTGTTGGTCTCATTGGGAGATTTGGGGGTCTCACTGGAGAATGTTGGTGTTTCAGTGAAAAATGTGGAGGTCTTAGTGGAGAATTTGTGCACCTCAGTTGGAGCTTTTTGGGTCTCAGTGGGAGATCTGGGTGTCTCAGTTGAGAAGTTTGGATTTTCAGTAAAGAATTTAGAGGTCTCAGTGGAGAATTTGTGTACCTCTGAGGGAGATTTTTTGGTCTCAGTGGGAGATTTGGGTGTCTCAGTGGGAGATTTGGGTGTCTCAGTGGGAGATTTGGGTGTCTCAGTGGGAGATTTGGGTGTCTCAGTGGGAGATTTCTCATAGTTGCGGTCTCTGAAGTGAGAAAAACCACCATCACTTCTAAAATCTGGTTCCTTCTTTTTGGCAGCCAGAGCTTCAAGTGCCTTTATTCGCTCCGAAACGGGAGAGGTCTTTATTGGTGAGTCTGGTTGTCCATCTGGCGGCCCTGGTTCACTCCCGTAATTACTAGGGGTGAATGAGCCATGCTGAGAAGGAAAACGAAGGGATGTCGCGACACCTTCGCAGGGCTTGTCGGAGCCCAGGACCACTCTTTTGTCTGCATCGGCGTGCAAAAAGCGAACAGCGAAGAAGAAAAGGAGGGGGGGGGTCATATATCACACCACACTAAACTTTCATGCACTTCTAATATTATTCAGCGAGGTCTTGATGTTGCAGCCCAAGCATTCATGCATTGCATCATGGAAATTCATATAATGGATGGGATTTTTATGTTTTGCATGCTGCTTTTGTACTTCAAAGTTGCAATAAAGCAATCCGGTCCGTATGGCAACTTAAATTATCTGAATGATCAGATAAACAGCAAAAGAAAAAGAAAAAAAACACTTATCTCTTCATGTGTGGATATGGTGATTGATGTATATGAATTCCTTAACAATTGCAGTCATTAAATACATTTTGTAATGTTTTATATGATTAAATTAAAAACATTTTATTAATATTTGTTTTCAAAAATAGATTTGACTAAAACATAGAATTGGTATTAACTACTCAACTCTAGACTCCTATAATCTGAGCTGGGATTTAAACCACACATTTGTGGGATTACATATTGGTCATTTGAAATGCTATTTCTTTTTTCAAGGTAAACTCACTTAGGCTACTACTGCTAACGTTACAAAGAAGAAAGTGCAAGTGCAAAACTGAAAAAGTCTTAACAGCCGACATCATTTTCACCTTCACCACAGAACACCATGGACTGTTACACAAGTAACAAACGTGATTGAGATATAAAAAAGGCATCTAAAAAAAACAGGCGAAAGATCAGAAGGATGAAAGATGCACCTACACCCCAAGGCCTTTTATTACTTTAGGATGCATTAGAATTCCTTTAGAATCATCTTCGTAAAAGGTGAATGTTTCTGCATAATCAACATGTTCCTTTTATAATGCAAAACCATGTGACTTATAATGCGCTTTTAAACTATGTATCTTTCCACTTAAAACAAGGGTGGGCAGCACTGCTGCAATGTTAAATACCTCATCTGACAGATTGGAAATTCATATTTAATGTTTTTTTTGTTTCATAAAGCTTTAGGCTTGCTTCAAGTTAGTTTATTTCTGTGCCAATTCTGTGTGTAAATATGCCTATTAGATAGAAAATAAGCAGTGGGAAGAGGGAAGGAGACCAAGCGTAGTACATTTTAAAGGTTAAGTCAGGTGGGGTCTTAAAACCGTGGATATAGTTTGTGTTCAAGTTTCAGTTTGAAAAATGTGCCGACTACCACAGTTAACTTACTAAGAAATTCTCCTTCTTCCAAACCTGCCTACAGATCTCCATGCTGTCCAAATATTAGCGAAAAAGGATTGACCTAGTAAACAACCATATTACTAATGATGGAAAACTTTAATACAGTTTAATGTGGAAAAAGCAGGCCATTAGGCAAAGGACTAATCTCAAAAATGTCTCAATCACAAACAGAGATGCATTCACTGTGCTCAGTGACAAGCTACCTAATCAGTAATTGTAAACTATGTATTATAACATCCTCAAAATGATGTAAGGATCGGATACCGAAATTATAAAATTCCAAAAGCTAGGCAATATTGCCGTCACAGTGCAGTTAGTCAGGTCATCTAAACACCATCATTTCCTCAGCCAAACAGCTGAAGAGACGTTTACAGTCACTGTGATGGCAGGGCCCCCCTCCCCAGCCATGTGGCCACTAACCTGGATGTTTCCAAAGACATTCAAAGATGTTCTAAGCAACTTTTCCAACAGTCAAATGGTTGTTCAAACACCAATGATCTCTCATGTCACCTGCCATGACGCCATTAGGACAGGGTATTGTCTATATTAACCTCCAACTGATTTAACTTTTACCTATCAAACACACTTCAATAAAGTATTTTCAGATCCACATATTTTTTGTATTTTTTTTTCCTATTTCAATTGAACCCTGCAATGTTATTAGTGTTGACAGCATGGTCCCATGACCCAACCCCTCCCCTGCCACTGCATAGACAGAGACTTTTCCACTGATGGCCAACTGACTGGTCCACTTTGTCTTGGACTGCTACCTCCCCTTTTCCACAATACAATGCCTTGTTCAAACTAGGCCACATGAATGGACTTTCCATCTAGCCAGCAGCATTGTAGTCCTCTGGCTCTGTACTAGTAAACAAATTCCATAACAGCTCGTGCTCTGAGAACACATCCACAGATTCTAGAGAGAGCCAGGGCTACTTGATTTGAAAATCAACTTCCAGAGAGACTATAATTCAGGAGTAGCTTTATGAACATGGTTATAAAAAAAAGCTGTCAACAAGTTTAATTTGTAATGGGCCACTAGTGATGAGCCATCTGCCAAATTAGGCCTCAGTGGACTTCCATGTCTGATTTATGTAATCTGCTCTCTGCAGTAGCTGGAGTTGAGGTAATGTGAATGTGGCTCCAAAATCATTTGCTACAATTAGCAAAAAGCTTCTCTTACCCTGAACATGAAATGTTATTCTTGGGATCAGTATATGTGATGAAATTATCTGAAATTAAGTGGTTTTCAATCATATATCTCCTTATCACTCAGACTTAACAAAGGGGTATACACCAAACCAATAAAGGAATTTACATTGAAACCCCAAGCATTGCTTTACTGATAACAAAATGTAATGCTTAAGCTCAGTCCGATATTTTTGCTGAGAAACAGATGAGTCAGTAGTTCAAATTCCACTGGGTGCAGTTACGTCCCGTCATTCCTCACTCAGTGAATAGTTTGGATGCATGAGACATAAGTGTTGTAATGGTACCCTGTGACTAAGGATACTTTGTGGCTCGTGTTATCTTCCCTAATCAATCTATTATACTATATCACTAAACAAAAAACACTACTTTCACAGCTATTGGTTACTGTTTGTTTACACTAGTATAGACTACTAAAACTGATGAAAATGACAGCATAAAAAGAATCGAAAATAAAAAATAAAATAACGCTCAAAGAAAACCTACTTTTTAATGCTTAAGCAAGGATGTGAGACATGCACAGAGCCATAAGCTGATATAGGGGTGGAGGGCAAGTGAAACCTGGGCCTGCCAACGCCTGTGGCAGGCCCAGGTCATCGGGCGGTGGATGATACCTCCAGTGCCACTCATCCTCTGGGGCCTGGCTGCTACTGGGACTGAGGGGAGCTCGGGCTTGGATACTAGGGCAGCAGGAAGCTGGTACCTCCGGAGACACCAACCTGATCCATTTTTAGATTTCTGCTCTTGTGCGCACAATGTGAACTTGAACTTCTCTGCTTTCTTAAAATAAGGTGGCAATCTTGGGATTATCTTGTACCTATAGTGAGTGCTGCTGACCTAAATAATGCTCACTAGCAGGCGGTAAAGACGGAAATGGATCAGATTGCTAGCAGCTGCAGAGGTATGGTCTTCCATGTCTAATTTTTTGTGTCCTGTCAAGATTCTGTTTGGGCGAGAACAAGCAGCATTGAACCCTAAAACGGACAAAGACTCGTTTAGATTAGGGTTAGTGCGTGCTAGTTATTTATGCCAAATGTATAAACTGAGGCACATTATTTAAAATGCACCACGTGTTCATATGAGTAAAAGCTCTGAAGGTGAAGCTGCTCAGACTATCGCTATGCCTGCAGCTTTAACATTAACTAACAATGTAAACTGTCAATAGGTCAAGATTTCTATTTGCGGCATGAGCTAGAGAGGTTTCATCTCAAGTTGCAGCAGGGGTTGGGGGTGGTGAAGAGAATTACCAATACCATATGTCTTTGAGAACATGAGCTGTGCTGCGTTGATAACTTACAATTAGTCCAGCAATTGAGGGTCAGCAGTGTTGGAAACAGATGGAGTAGCATGACAAGGTTTTGTTGGAGGAGGGGTGGGTAAATACCGGCTGAGCTAGGAAAGGAGCTGGGGTTAGGACAGTAGTTCGCCATGTTATTAGGTTCTTTTTAGGTTGGTTCTATTTTAATAGAAGATTACGAGCAGGAGAGGGGCACTAGAAAGAGGGATGAGGTAGCGCAGTACAGCAGCAGGCCAGCGAGAGAGAACAGGACGGAGGGAGAGAGCAGGCGAGCAGCGTAAGAGAACCATACACTTGCCTTGAGGAGACTGAATGAGAGATACAGGCGAAGAGGAAAGAAAGGAATCTGAAAAAGGAAATAAAAAGTACAGAAGTATGATCATCCTAGAAGAGGAAGAAAATAAGTCCTATCCATCAGACCCATTCAAATTCAAATAAAGGCAGTACAATTAGGAGAAAACAAGAGTGAACTTATCCAGTCTTATCAACTCTACATACTATACAAAAAGCTACAAATAAAGACCAGACAATACTAATGGTAACAAAGTAGCCCCATGCATATGCTCTTATTATATACTACAGTAAACCTTCAATAACTTTAACACATGCACTTATATTTGCTATGCAGGCAAGACAGTTGAATTTAGCAGCAGACAAAAGCCCTTCTCACTTTGCTTTAGTGTGGCTATGAGCAAACAGAAGTGCTTCCTGCAACTTAACTACACACAACACTATTTCGTCTTTAGAACTTCTCCAAGGATTTATGTTGCTACAGAAACCAACAGGTCCAAGATTTAATGTACACTATACAGCAAATAGTAACTGGGCAGCCCTGTTCAAGAACGCCGTCTTTTTGGTTCCTTTTTTACATGGTTGGTAGAGGCCCTTTACTTGAGGGAAATCTTTACGCTACAGCATACAATGATGTAGTGTTCTACCAACTTTGGATCAGCAGTTTGCGTTTGGCCACTTCTGTTTCTACCTTACACTGTCCTCCTGCATAAAGTCAGCTCCATAAAGAAATAGTGTTCCCAGTTTGGCCTGGCCTACACAGAGCCCTAACCTACACCCCATTCAACACCCTTGGGATGAACTGGAATGCCAACTGCAAGCCAGACCGGATTACCCAACGTTAATGTTGAAACTCTTTCATTCTCTGATGATAGACAATCCGTGAATCCAATGGGAAGCCTTATGGGAAGCCTGAAACCAAAAAAGTGGCGGCTGGAATGTAAGGGGCCAAATACCTGCAAACAGTTCCTCAAGGTTAAAAAGAGTGTTCACACCTCAACCTCCATTCCATCAGACTGGTTGGGGATGCCAGGAGAGAAATGTCTTGTCATGGGAAAGGACTGAAGATGTGTAAGAATTTCAGGTTTACCAAGAGAGGTGCAGCGTCTTGTTTCAGTAACGCTGAATCTGAGTTTATACAGGCTGGGGAGGTTGGGTTGGTGTGTCCTCGATGTGCAGCATTCCTTCTCTCCGATTCATACTCTCTGAACACACCACACCTTCACCTTTTAACCACAATGAGGGCTATGTCTACATCTTTCTTGTGCTTCCCCATTTCTTTTTAGGGACAAATTGGTGAGAATTGAATTAAGAAGATACTGGTCGAAAACTATATATACCTGTAGACATAAACATGAAAACTAATAAGATAGTTCAGATCCTTCGAAATTAAAAGCATGCATAAATATCATGGTTCCACACATTAACAAAAATCACAAGTATGTCATTATGGAAAGACATACTTTATGGCATCTTTGTAAAACGCTGATGACTGCTGTTAAGCTGTGGAAATGTTATAAAAACACAACATATATATCTAAAGAGGAATGAACAAGAATGCATGTGATGGTGTTTTAAACACAGCAGAGAGAAAAATCAAAGCTGAATAATGTCCAACTATATAACCAGAGCAGATAAAAAGTGTTAGCTCAGGCTGCTTAACTAAACATTTGCTTTACTTAAAGCTGCATTAAAGGTAGGGTAGGTAAGTTTGAGAAACCGGCTCGAGATTGCTAGAATTTGAAAATACACAACCGGAGAAAATCTGCCACTTCCTTATAGAGCCCCTCTTCCAACACACACGAACGCGCACATGACCAATGAGGGCACGAGATAAGTTTGTGCACAGATGGAAGGCTGACAGGCAGGTAGGCCATCCAGTTATTTTAGCCGGGCCGGCTAAAATGATTGGTCGTGCTTTTTACAGTACTACGGCTTCCACAGATGACATTTTTTTATGGATTTTTTGTCAAAGCACTTCAGATATTCATTGCTATCGGGATGTTAAGAGCATTCCATGGAATATAACAAAAAGTGTATCTCGAGCCGGTTTCTCAAACTTACCTACCCTACCTTTAAGTCATGTTTTAGGGGGCAGTGAACAAAATGAAAACACAACATCTGACATGTCATAACCTTATAAAGCTTTTCAGATAGATCTCTATTATCCTAGAAGATATAGTACAATGCTAGAATTCTTGTTTTGTTGCACTTCTTGCCACTCTATGAATCCAAATACTAATCCTTCTTTAAAGGATAGGTTTCTACCAACTATTGAGAAAAAAACATATGGCTCTTTAGCTGCCAGATGCTCCACAACTTGTCTGTCTACTTAGTGTTGATAGACAACAGTCATTCTCACATTTCTAACAGCTGATTGCAGCTGCTGAAAAAGAGGCTAAAGAGATCAGAGAGTATGGGTCATACAGCCAAAACATTGAGCTAAAAGAGGCTAAAAACCTCTGTAGAGCTGAGGGGAACTGCAGGATTGCTGATCATTTACTGTGAGTTTGTCAAAATCATCCTTTCATATACTAATTCATTGGTTACATCAAAAATAAAGCTATGTAGAAATGTTAAATGTTTGTCTCTGGGATAAGGGTTCGACTGCCTTCATTAGTACTAAGTACTTAGTTCCCAGTACTTAGTTCTGATGAACTAAAGAGCAGATCGTGTTCACACCGGAATAAGTCCCTGGGTGCATCTCACTTCGGTCGTTTCCCTGTGACTAGTCCCTCCCACCAGGGAAGCATGGAGAGACGCAAGGAAACCATGAGAAGCAGGGAAATGAGTTTTAAGAGCAATGGGACGCCGTTTCCTCCGGAGCGTCACGTGAAGCGACGTCCGTTTGTGATGACGCCGCACAGCTGATCGTCTGACAGCAGCCAGATCAGTGCATGCGCTGCATCGTCCAATCAGTGAGCGATACACAGTAAGGGGGCGGGGCGAGTGTCTGAGGATTTCACCGGAGGATGGTCTGGTAGTTCCTCGATTATCGCTCCTCCGTTATCACTCCTCGATCCTCGATCCTCCGGCACAAATAAGGCCACTGGGACGCTACTCAAGATGGCGCAGACAAATCAACTTCCGGTGATACCGAGACCGAGGAGCGAGGAAATGAAAAATAAGAGAAGTGAAACGCACCCCCTGAGGGAGGATTAGGCAAATTAAGCCGCTGACGTCACTTCTTCTTCTTCTGCTTTGGGTTTACTGGCAGGCCGCAAACAACTTCACGGCGTATACTGCTACCCGAAGTCCCCGGCCGGAAGTCCCGGGAGTTGGGGACTGGCTTCAGTAGAAGCTGCTGGGTAGCAGTTCCAGCAGCTTCTACTGAAGCCAGTCCCCAAGTAAATCCGAGTAAATCGCCAGAACGCCGACACCTCCTCATCACTCCACCACTCCCATGTGTTTTTTTTTGTGTTGCCATAAGTTAGTCTCTCTCCGTTGGTGCGCTGGGCTAATGCTAATGCTGATAATGCTAATGCCAGCAAATACAATGGCGGCTTCACAAAACTTTTCCGAGTTTTACGGGGCGTGGTTTGCAATCCGCCCAGCCAATCAGAAATGGGAACCTTTTTCTCCCATGAAAGTACCTGCTCTCTAGCAGGGACTAAAAAGGGGGTGAAAAGGTTCTCATGGTGTGTTTTTGGTGTGAACGCAAAATTTCAAGAACTATCGGAACTATACTGGGAAAAGTACTCCGGTGTGAAAGCGCCTATTAAGTCACAGTGTGCAATCCAAATACTACGGTTCACCTGTGTTAAATCTATCATTGGCAGACATGAGTTGGAAGCTTTGCCACTGTGCCTTTAGGGCTTCTTAAGCTCATAACCTAGTGGAAATGATGGTGCAGGGCTGGTCTCCTCCCTGCCCTAGCTACCCTGTACTGTCCACCCTGAGGGCTCTCTGATGCCTCTGTGGCTGCAGTGATATAGTCCGCTCCTGCAGGGGTGGGGGCGTGCTGGCAAGACAAATGGAGAGAGAGGGAAAGGAGGCTGAAAGAACTCTGTGTTCCTTGAAGCTTTGCTTGTGAGCTTCATTTTTAGGTAGTTTAAATTGAATACCTATAGTTTCCAATTTACTGAAATATGAGTTTTTCAAACAACATTGATATGATGAATGATTAAAACCACTAGGTTTGGTACACTATGAACCACAGCAATTACAGTTCTGGTAACTCATCAAATGTACATTTCTCCGTTGATGGAAAAATTAAGGATTTCTGATAAAAAATTGGGAGTTTTCTATAAACAGTATCAAAGCACAGGAAATAACCAAATTCTCTCTTCAGTGAACATTATTTAAAAGGTTGTAGATCAAAATAGAGGTGGGGTTGGTGCCTCAAGTAATTTAAATGTTAGTCTGCTCATATTACAACATTCCTATAAAAAAATATGAGCAAAGAGGCAGCTGAACCTGTAACGACAGTTATCAAACTGTGTGCTAAGAATTACTGTAAAAGGCCAGCAATTTGTGTAATATGGTTTCTCACTGTTTGAGATGAGATTACACATAATGCAGCAATACCTAGATTGATTCCATGGCTAACTTCCACTGAAAATGTGATGCAATGTGGTTTCAGAAATTAGGTCCTCATTTTGAAGTGTGCCACTTCCTTTGTGACTATTGTCACTCATCAGTGTGCAAGTCAAGTGAATAGTCTCAGCTACAGACAGGAGCTGGAGAGGAGGGCCAGGCCATCTGTAGAAGTTACATCCACTGAGGCAAAGATAGACCTGTGTAGATTATTATGGAAACTACTGCAATAATGCATGGGCAATGAACAAAAGAACATGTCATGATAAACTAGAAAGAATACTTCCATATAAGTTATGAGGCAACATTTCAGGATACACATGCACATGTGACCAGCAAAAACTACAAATCAATCCTTTCTGTGGATGTTTTAAATTAAAAGCCAGGTTTTATTGGTAAACATGTGGTTAAAGAAGGGCTTAACTATGGTTTAGAAAACCCTATGAATAAGTGGATAGAACATGTATTTCTGATGTTGTACTGAGGGAATGACTGCTGCAGTAGTTTACATTGTGCTAGATTTACAGACAAAAATATTGTTTTTAAATGGACAGCAAAGTAAAACGGGAGCAGATCAGAAAACAGGGATCTTTTTATAAAATATGATAAACAGGTGAATAAAGCTTAACCATTGGCCTGGATTTGTGCCTGTGTCTAGCCTTGTTTGGGTAATATTGCAACAAAACGAATTGACTATAAATAATGTAACTGTTCCTGTGACTAGTACATTACTGCAATGACATCAGAGGGAGTGACTGCTCAAAGCAACACAGTGTACCTTTTAACTGTCTGTCTGCCTAAGCACATTTATCAAATCATTGACAGATTAGGCCCAAAGCCTACATTTGTAGATGACTCAGCAGGGCTGTAATGACTAAGGTTCGCATAAGTCAATCTCTGTTATCTGTCATGGAATGTTACAAAAAAAGCAACCCTAATCATTCTGAGTTAGTTCAGGGCTGCCAGCAAACTATTTATATAGAAACAGCCATCTTTGCTACTTTACAATTTGTCAGAAAATAACTAGCTCTTATGAAGTTCATGCCACCGTTTTGAGAACAACCTATACATATATGTTTTAAACATAATATAGATATATAAGGTTAACAATCCTTAAATATTTTTGAGAGAGATTAAATAAAATAAATTATAATTTGGTCATTGTTGTCATAAGCTAATAATCATACGGTACATCATATGATTGTAGGCATGGCAAGAAATGATGGTCCTAAATGATTTATGATGTGACATTGTTTGCTTCCGTATGTGTCCCAGTGGATTTGTAGTTATCTTTTATTTAACATTGTCTCTCCTGTCCTTGGTGATAAACTTGAATCTCATTGAGGCATCGTGGGCCACACCCTGCCATATCCAGTTGACGCCCATGACCATGTGCTTTAATTCTTCAAAGCCTACAATCCTTTTGATTAACAGAACATGGCTTTGAAGGATTTTCAAATGGCTCTGGTGGTAGTGACTGATTGAGCCATGGTGTTTAAATCAGAAAGCTTAACACAACACAAACACAGTAACTGATTGGAAAGCAGCCACTCCCTTAAAACACAATAACCTGTCAATAAGGCCCTGGGCGACAAAACTATTACTTTGTTTAAATTAGACTTTTCTAGGCAGTGAAACCTGAAAATCGAAAAATACTTAAAAACTGGAGGTAGTGATAATAATTAGACAAATATGGATGACAGTACCAACGCTCTTCAGGCATGCTGTTATTGTCTGGGACTGTTATTATGAAGACACAAAAGGGCAATGCGCCTTTAAGAGGTGCTCCCTTCACTGGCAGTTGCCCAGTAACAATGCATCTGCAGTGCAGAGCATCGCAACATAACGCACCGATAACGCTTTGTCACCCCAAACCTTGTTCTTAAATAATATGTCATGTAATGTATATTTACTTATTAACAAACATACCCATCTCGTAGAACATGACGCAAGACTATATTCGCCGTCGTATGATTTACATTTAAATTCGGCTAACAGCAAAAACACACAACAACATTTCTTTTTTTTGTTTTTCTAAATTAGCACTGCTAGTTACGCAGTCTCCGTCGGATTAAATAGCTGCTCAGTGGGGACCAGTGTCGACCCAGAAATGTGTTTCGCTGCTTAGCTGGCCGAATACACAGTTGAGTTGAATGTCTTGCCTCATGCTCTACATGCTCTATATACACTAGCTATAGACGGGACTGAAGCACCACTTATTAGCAAAGCGACTTAAAACTGACATTTTTATAATAGACATTGCGCGCGGCGTTATAACCTCTATAGAAGAAAGCGCGTGTACCAGGGGCGGGCCAAAGCTACGGGGCATGATTGACAGCCGTGTGTTGGGATAAGTTCACTACCACAGGTGTTTCGCATTAAAGCTAAATAAGCTTAAACAATCATGCCAACAACAGACCCAATATCATAAAATGTGTTTACAATACAATGCCTTCAGTTCTAAATTGAGGTATTGCGTTATGGTATTGACGTTACGTTAGACCTATGAAATTATTAATGCCTTACGTTTAAACGACACACATGGTTAAAAAATAATTAAGGGTAAGTTTAAATTGACACTAGTCTAGCTAACTTAACGTTAGACTGTTTCTTACCGGATGGTTTTGATTCTTTGGCAGCAGAATTTTGTCCATCGGCAATCCCTTGCGACGATGATATCTGGGTGGACTGAGTCATTGGATCCATTTTACTGTAGTTTCAAAGCAACTGCACAAAGGAGGTAAAATGTCTGTCGTCTCGATATTAATTGTCGTACACTGTCCTTTAAAGACGTATATTTCGTCTGACTTTCCTTAAATTTCCCCAAGAGCGGGACTCGGGTCTGCACCTTAACGCAACGTCCGAGCACTGACAGATCAGCAGAGATGGAGGGAAACAAGGAGGACTATGGAGGAGGGGAAAAAACATGTCGGGGTGAGACGCGTTCAAAGTCTCCGTTGAGGCTCCTATATGTCAACTGTCACCTGCTAGGCCTACATATGAGTTGCAACTGCGTTAATGTACGATAACATAACACCATCAAATTATTTTATTACCACCAATTTACTTGTACTACATCCGCCCTACATTCAAGGAACTTTGTATCAGTGAACTGCCATGGTTCTAGACAAAATATCTAATTTTGTTGTGAAGTTCACGCACGATAAATAAATACCCCACAGCACTTGAAGGCAGCACGAGGAATATTCCTGAACACAGACACCATGTTATACCTGCTCTGAACAAATGTGGGATTTTACATTTTGACCAATAGCTATTTTAGATTTGGGATGCTACATTATTAGAATTTGAATAAATACTACCAAAATATGAGTGTATAATAAATGTGGGATAAAGGTGGATAATTATGGGTTGAATACATTAACTAGTTTGTATGAGCTATTTGTAACAAAGCCAGCTATGTCCACGACCACGTTGATTATATTGCTTTTAAATTATGAAGATGTAACGATTTAACGGCTATGGGTACACTTTTATAAGAGTCCAAATTGTGTGGATTTTACTGTAGCTTGTTTTCCATTATGTAATGGTTACCTTTGTTCCATTTTGTAGCAATATATGACATGACGGCTCCATGCCGCCTTCTGCTGGCAGTCTACGAACAACACATTATGAACTACATTTCCCAGCCTACACGCTGGGAAACTGTGTGCGCAGTGCTTAAGATCTACAACCATAGGGATGGGTCTATCAGCGTTCGACCGCGATTGGCAGCGTCCGCCATATTGTTATAAGATCTACTCCGTTACGCAAACGTAGAGACTGGCAACACACTGCAAGTGAATTTCAGGCAGACTGAACTGCGCGGCAAAAGAAGGGGGACACAAACAAAAACATGTGGATGAGGCGGTGAGAATACGGGTATGTTATCTCCTACACATGGTTTATTTATCAGTTACTGAGAGTTTAGAGCAAGTCAGTATTGCGGCAGGTTGTGATGATGTATTTCGCTAGAGTCCTAGGCGATACGCGTTATCCAAAAGTGGTGAGTTTAGCTAACTAGCAGCTCGTTAGCTTGTTAGCAGCTTCTGACAACAGCCGTCATTCATCCAGCTGCTCCTGAGCTGTTTGTCACAGTGTGTGGCCCGCTTTCTGGTTTGGTACATTTGTGTACTTTATCTTACAAGAAATTCATTCAGCAAACTAACAGTAGTAGCAAGCATAAATGGTTAGCTAACGTTTACTTAACTTAGTTAGTTAGCTAGTTAGCCTGGATCAGTACACCCGGCTTGCAAATGAATGAATCTATCGGTAACAGAGTATTCCTGGTCGGTAGTAAATACTGCAGTACTACTGCGTTTCTGGTCATGCGTGGACCTTTCGAAGCATTAATCGGAAGAAAGAACGTAGAAGAGCATCCTTTTGTAGCTTTGAATTGAATGTGGCTACATCTGTAGCAGTAGGAGTGCCCCGCCCACCAAAGCGCCATATAGCCCATGTTAGCTGCGTTGATGTAACCAGCATTATGCAACCAAAGCTGCTCATCCCCGGGTCAGTGTCTAGCTCTGTGTCTGCAGCAGGTAGAAACACATTGTTATTATCATAATTATTGCTCGCATTATTAACAGCATGTGTATAAATGCAGATAAGGGTTCATAGTAGATTCATATAAGATATGACAACATAATTGATAAATACTAATAGGCTTTTACATTTTGTACAGCAATATTGCCTTTTTATAGATCTGTGGTAGTGTATTTTCAGCCTTTTGTGCATTTTTAACGTATTCCTAAGAATACATGTTATAGTATTATAAGTAATAACTGGCAAAGCAACAGTTGCATAGAAAGTCTGAAATGTAAGTATTGAATTACCTGTATTTAGCCTGTTCCTCTGTACCATAGAACACCATTGTTGTCAAAAAACTATTATTTTTAACCCGGGCCGGTTCTAGCCAATTTGCTGCCCTAGGCGAGATTTTACAGTAGAAAAGATACAAATCATTAGAGTATCCAAGGAATACACAATAGAATAGGCTATATAAATGAAACATTTCTACAAAAGACAAATACACTACAAACAGAAACGTATTGACATAGGTAATATACATCAAAAAGGCTTCAAATGTATTCAGTATTGTATGAACATGTTTGAATTGGGGGATGGACATCACATCCTCTAGGGGGGTCCGGGGGTATGCCCCCCCGGGAAGAATTTTTTGAAAATGTTAAAGTGAAATGCTTCAACCTGGTAAACTTTGAGCGCACAATTACTAGAGACCAGAAGCTGGATTTTCGCTTAGCCGGCTAACTTCAGGGAAAACTCGGGCTTTCCGGTCCTACGACGCTGGTTCTCTTTTAAACGGGCTAGATCTCCATGGTAACTTATGCTGAGCGGCTAACCTCCTCCGGGGCAGGTTAGGTTGCAGGCTAAGAGATCAACTCAGTGAAAGCACCGCCTGCTGACCAATCAGAGCTCCGTGTGCATAGTTTAAAGCTATCAAGTCATATTACAGGATAGAGGAAATACAGAAAAACTGCCGTTGCAGGAAAGACGGCCGGCAAAAATCAACTGACTGTGAATGTGAAAATTAATAGAATATCCCCTCCCATCTTCAGAGCAATCTGACTATTATAACATTAGCGTTAAGAAAGCTTACTTAAATATCTGCCACAACATAAGTAACCGGATCAGAGTAACATTAAGTACAGTCCGCGGCACTGTGAGTGCAGACGTCGATGTGTCCCATTATCATTCATATCATATCACATCATAATGTATCATATATTTCCTTATCTGAGTCAGCTTCTTGAGCCGTATCTGGCCGTGCAACACTCACAGTGTCACATACTGTATGCAGAAGTATTGTTTTAAGCAACACATTAAGTTGACGAAACACTTGAGTCAAATGTAATTAAAGTCAGATCCACTCGTGTCTTGGACGGGGCAGTGATATCATAAACCTGTTAATGTACGCATTCAAACGCTTTTTCTTTTACCAGCTGTATTCACCTTGCAGGTGCAGCTATGTGGCTTTTATCCTGGATAAAGTGTTTAAGTCATGGATGTTTAAAGTTTAACTTCTTCATATGTCTAATATTAAAGTTCACTTTTCATTCAGGAAGTATGACGCTGCGCTGTCAGTACGCTTGTCCATGTTTGTGATTGGTCGAATGCTCCAAATACCACCCCTTTCATGTGAACGCGCACCTAACTAGATAGGACACGGCTGGCTTGAGCGATCCACTTGATAACCAGCGTCGTAGTACAGTTTAGCGAGAGCGCGTATGTTTTGGATTGGGCCAACCGGCTAACTCAAACATATCCAGGTTAGGTTGAACCAGCTTCGTAGTACAGGCCTCTGATCTAGGGGGTACAACTCTAAAACACCCATATGAAAAAGATCGGTTTACATTTTAATAATCAAATAAGTATGTGAACATAACCAATAATCTACCATAGCCAATAACAAATACATTTAAGTTATTTTATTTTTGTTGTTTATTCATATCTTATTTTACCAGTTAACATTTATTTATTTATGCATATTTTTTTATCTCTCCAGTTTTAAATGATATTTTTGGTTTACTGTCCGATAGTATACATTGGAATGATTTCAAACCTGTTTATCCCAATATTTATAAAGGAGTGCCTTGGAAATATGTGTTTACATAATTGTGATCAAAACGTTTGAGACCCACTGAGATAACTTAGACTAAAGTGAACTATCTACCTCACTGAGCCTCTCACCAGCTAATAACAACAGCTCCGGTACTGGTGCACCCTCTCTCCCTCGCTCGCTCCCACGCTCACTGCACTTTGGCTGTGAGCTGCGGGCGCCTGATAAGCCAACATCCCCCATTTTCATCACTTACAGCGCCCATCGTACAGGGCAAATGAAAAGTGTAATCGGGGTGAAACGGGTGTTACATTTACTTAATTATGAATGTTGTTGCATCAAGGCCAAAAATTAGGATGAGCACCAACGGTCCAAAACGTTTTTTTCCCTCCCAGAGCTACCAGCGCAGCGCCCAGATCTGGCACCCTAGACGACCGCCTATGTCGCCTATGCCAAAAACCGGCCCTGTTTTTAACACATCAATAAGCCACACTGTTAAACTGTGTGACATGGCCCTTTATTACCATGAAAGCACATACTATTAATTATTTGGACTCAATCCCACATACACAGCAAATACAAACTCAATGTGGTTTAAGCCACAACTGAAAATAGTCCCCAATAAATGCACTATTTGACTAATGTTTGCTTAAAAACTACCATGACCAGTGCTGAGCTGGAGTTGAACTAACAGCTGTGTCATATTCAGTTCTGCAGGTGAGGAGAGCATCCGAGTGGACTGACTTTGGAACATCATGGGTTTGCACTCAACCCAGAAGAAGCACTTCCCCCTGCGGGGCATCGATGGCGTGGTTCAGCTGTTTGAGTCTGAGCTCCACAAGCCAGAGCCAGACCTCGCCCTTCTTTCCCTGGTCCTGGGATTTGTCGAGCATTTCCTAGCTGTGAACCGGGTCGTCCCCATCAACGTGCCAGGGGTCCGGTTTGAACCACTGGAGGCGGACTGTCCCAACTCCTGCTTCCCCACTGTGGAGCTGGGCATGATCTCTGCACTGTACGAGCGCTTCACGGCCCAGATCCGTGGAGCGGTGGACCTCTCCCAGTACCGGAGGACGGGTTCAGGGTCCAGCAGGGAACTGGTAAAGAAAGTGTCGGATGTGATCTGGAACAGTCTAAGTCGTTCTTACTTCAAAGACCGGGCCCACATCCAGTCTCTCTTCAGTCTCATCACAGGTGGGAATCAGAATCAGAATTCACACATGAGGGAAATGTACATTGTTACAGCCAAAGTGAAGATGGAGTCAAAAATAAAACATTATTAGGTAAAAGGCATGCACATAATGTTTCAAATTATTCCAATTCAAAATATACACATTCGGTAAAAAA